AGCGCCGCTTCACACGGTGATGGGAAGTGCTGCTGCCTCTGGCGCTCTCCTGCCTCTTCAGGTTGTGTTCCAGGGCAAGACCACGGCGGTGGTTCCAACCAATGCGGCGGCAACAATTGCCACTTCAGAGGGTTGGCATTTGACGAACAGCGCAAACCACTGGTCCACCCAAGAGACAATGAAAGCTTTCGTCTCAAAGGTTTTGGACCCCTACCGGGTGGCTGTGTGCAAGGAGCTAGACTTGCATCCCCTTGCGCAGCGGATGGTTTGGCTCATAGACTGCTGGTCAGTTCATATCTCAGCAGAGTTTAGAGGCTTCATGAAGGAGAGCTTCCCCCTGATCCTTGTCCTCTTCGTGCCTGCCAATTGCACGTCTAAGCTCCAGGTGATGGACGTGGTCTTTCAGAGGCCATTCAAGCATTCAGTGCACCAGCTTTACAATGAGTTTCAAGCGGGGGAGGTTCAACAAGCAGATTGCAGCGGGGGTTGATCCGGCGGAAGTGAAGCTAGAGACATGGGTGGCTCAGCTCAGGAACAAAGTGATGGACTTTTTGAGGGGGGCGTGGCTGCTGATGAGAGGACAGCCGGCGCTGATCAGGAGGGGGTTCGAGATGTGCAAGCTAGGCAGCATCCAAGACCCTGCCTTTCAACGGACGGCGCTGTCGGAGTGTCTCCAGCGCAAGCTGCTGAGAGATATGGAGCAAGTAGAAGCTGCCGTGGGAGTGGACGAGGTTGCTGGGCCGGAAGGCGAGAGAGACGAAGCAGACCTGGAGCAGCTGGCAGGTGAGGCATGACAATAAATGCACAAGAATCAGGCGTAGCTCGTATGTGTTGCACTGGTACTAGAGTTTGTGATATCTAAGTTGTCCTGATCCTGCAACTTGATTGCCACAAGTAACTTTGTGCAAAGTTTTGCAGACTCCACCCTAGCACTGCTTGACAAACTTCAAAAGTACTGTGTATAAAAGTCCCTGATCCGATCTTTTGTAACTTTTTGATCAAGTCTAAGTCAGGTTGCTTGCCAGTGAGCTTACTAACATTCTGATCTGAAAGTGAATCTCAGTGAGTCAGCCTAAGTGAGCTCAAGTTTGTTTGAGATCTTGAACGAGCTCGAGAAGTTGTGCATTGAATTCAAGTTGCGGGCAAATTGTTTCTCGACTCAGATCCCATGTGTTTCTGATGCAGGATTGCCGTTCCAAGAGGTGATGCAAGGGTACATGGATGCGGCACTGGAATCAGAGCTGGAGGACATGGACCTGGCAGCTGATCTTAGTGACGAGGACTTTTGGGACTAAGTAAGTCAATGAGTTCAATGTGGTGATGTGGTCAATTAGGTGGCAGCATTCCTATTGGACATTGAATCTGAGTTAAACGATCGTAATCGTATGTACAAGCAGTCTTTTGAGCTTAGCAATCAAACTGTTTCTGTATGATTTACACTTTGCTAAGTTCTAATTGCAGGTCCCTGGTCAAATTGTTGAAGGCAGTCATCCAGCTGAGAGCTTGCACAATGTCAGCAGATGATACGGTAGACCTCAGTCGAGCTGGCAGGACTTGTAAAATAGGCAGTCAGTCTCGAGCTGAAATGAGTTGGCAGCCTCATTGCCAGCTCAGAAGTAGGTAAACGAGAACAATGGAAGTCAACAAAAAACAAACACAGATTGCTGCAAGTTGGTGCATCTGATCAATATTGATCAGACCTGGTTCGAACCCGGGAGCAATCAAATCCGTTAAGAAGTTGACTTCGAGCCATCGAGCTGCGCCAATGCATGTTTCTAGCTACAATCGAAGTTGATGGATCCTTGAAGCCATGCTCAGCATGGCCCAGCTGGTGCTTCTCTCGAAATGCTTGCTTTCCCCGCCATTCCTAGATACAGCGGGTTCCGGTTCCGTTCATGCGCGGCCAGATTTCCGCCGCCGCTTTTACACCGCCCGCGGGCCAGCTTTGCTGTTAGAATTTTCACAGATTTCGCATTTTCGCAGCATTCCTTTTTCCATGAATTTTTTGCTGTTTTCGCAATTTCGCATCACCTCCTGTAGATTTTTTTTTTTTTTTCACACCGGCCTCAAAATAATTATTTTAGTGCTAAATGAGCGTGCGCGTACGGTAGTGAGCAAGGGCTACCTATTCTCTCAGTTCCCCTAGAATAGAGGTGCATGATGCTTTGGGTGGAAACGCATCGTACTTGGACCAGTCCTCCGGCGCGAGAGCGTTTCGTGTCGGCAGTCCTTAGAGAATCTATCTCGGGATTGAACCCTTGCAAACTCGGAACACCTCTGGCGACTCTGACTTCCTCAAGATGATGGTGTGGTATAGTGGCGGCATTTCCCCGGATTTTTTCCTACCATTCGTAACGCCAGTCTGACATACATATAACATGGTGGGCTGCATCGCAGAATAGCGTTTCACTAAGGGTCGACATAAAATAGCGCCCGACATGCATCCTCTGACAGGTACGTACCGGAGATGGTATGTACTTCATCGCGCGACAAAAGGCTATTGGTATGTACCGCGGTATAAATGCGTTTCAGTGCCACGTGTTCAGCTAGTTAAGCAACTCTAGTTCCACAAACCAATCTCTTAACCTAAATACAGCGTCATTTCTCGGTCTCCTCTTGAACGTCCACCATGGAAGAAGGCGCTTGAAGTTTTCGATGGCGCCCTGGACGTGGGAGCTGATACTTGTAGCCAATCGCCTCCTTGGAAGTGTACCGCATCATACCAGGGTTGTCTTGGATCCAGCTACGCTCCTTGGGAGCGGGTTTGGGAGCTGCTGGTGCTGGAGCTGCTAAGCTGCTTTTATCAGGCTGGTCCATGGCGTCCAATGGTCGAGCTGGAAGCGAGATGAGAACGTTTGGAATGATGAAGAGAGACAAAGAAACGAGAAGGAACGAGCTGTTGGAAGTCATCACCCCTCGTCGACTTCTTCTCAAAACACTACTATCGAGTGTGTGTACATGGCGAGTGTACACATTCACTCTACAAAAAGACTATATTTTTCCAAGCCGCCAGTAATTTAGTACCGATCAGAGTACCGAGCGTGTAAGTTCGCCGCATCCAACCTGGCTGGTTGGCATCCGTCGATCAGAAATCAGCGTTTTAATCGACGGTGCCAGTTCTGCGACTATTTCAAGTTTGCAACGTGGAATCTCCAGCCTGGCAATGCGCGCGCACAAGTCCGGGATTTAGTCCTGTGTCAGATTGAGGATGTGATCCGCTTGTACACAGTGTGTGAATACCCTCAGTATTTTAATTTACGATTTAGAGCTTTGTGACGATTGTCACAAATTATCTTATTCACACTCCCTTCTATTTACGATTCTTTCCTCCGGATAGTCCCCAAGATTAGCCTTGCACAATTACCAGTCGCCCATTTTGAAAGCTTAATTCCTGAGCATCCCCTCAGGCGCAAAGCCCTTGCAGAGACTTCCTCAAACCCTCAAATTATTCAGGGTCTGTCCCGAGTCTGTAAATTGACAAGATGGGCGGACGTTCTGATGAGAACACTCACAGAGGTCGCCGTGAAAACCCGTTTTGCCAAGGGCGAAGACTTCCTTCGCAGGAACGACTGAGGCAGAAAACTCTGGCGAGTTTCCAGGGTCCTCTCGCTGTTATTGAGGGAAATGCTGACTCTAGAAAAACTGTGCGAGACGGAGCAAAGCAATTTTGCCCGGCGCGCGAAACGTTCGTTCTCGACAACAGAGAAAACTGCGGAGCAATGCAAAGCCCCTGAAGGCAGCCGCTGAAGCAGGTGAGCGATGCCATTTCTTGGGCCGGGAGCGGCTCAATGCAATGGCGCTAGGGGTATGTCGCTATGTTCACACGTCACTCCCCTAGATTCTGCCATCATTTCCGGCTGTGAGGGTTCCAGTTTTTCGAACTCAGTCACGCCATTAGGTGCCCCGTATTCCACAAGAGATTGCCGGCATTGTAGCCATCATTCAGGGGCCGCCCGCATGAGGGGCATTTGCCATTTACTCAGAAGTGTGTGGAGTTGTCAGAGCTGAAATACTTGCCCAGCCTAGCGCTTGCGGGCCCTCACAAGCTGACTCATTGGCAGCGGGTTGTAACACGTCTGCAGCTGCTTTTGGAGCGTTTCCGTTATGATGTCCTGACAAGCAGATGGTCTTCTGTCCAGGCTGAATTACCCTCTAGAATTCTGAAGCTGAGAGGAAGCAGAGACGTTTTGGGGAAGCAATCCTTGGCGCCATGTCAAAGTTCTGGCGCCCCAGCTCACCATAAGCCACTGAGACTTGTGGCCCGTCCCATAGGCTATGAAAGAAGTGGTAATTTTGTCTCACTTATATTGCAACAGTTTAGCCGCTCTGGTCTGTGTCGGGTACGCCCCTTGAGCTCCTTGAAGCGGCATTCCTGGGCTTAAGATCGCTTCTCTTAACAAAGAGCATATATCAGATGAACACGGTTGGTTTGCTTCTGTCGCCCCTTGTCAGTCTGGCTCAAGCACCTCATGAGGAACAATGGCGACTTGGTGCTAACCATGTGTTTGCTCATACAGTTCTCTAGAGGTCAACAGCTATCAAAGGCTGAGGTTTCCTCCGTGGTCCAAAGAAGGCATGTTTTGACTCTAGACAGAACAAAAGCAACAGCTGGTTGCCAGACAAGCAGCTGTGTTTAACATTCAGCAGGCTTTCAAATGCAACTAAAGCCGCTGATGTGATTGAAACATGATGTCTGTGTTTGCTACTTGCAGAAAAGGTCTTCGGCGTTTACGAGAACCCCTGCATTGGACAAAAGAGGGTCTAAGGACTTCCAGGTTAGTACCAGTGCCAACTGGCGCTTGTGGTCTCAAGAATTCAGCTACTGACGGGAATCTTCTTCAATCTCTACATTTGAAAACCTGTGAGCTCAACATCCTCCGCTTTCTCTTTTCTCTTTCTCTTCTCTTTAAGGACACCTCATATCATCATTTCTAAGGTCAGATCTAGCCTCCTGGGTAAATCAGAATCTGGACAACTCAGAAAGCGGTTCTTCTCACCTCAGCTCTTCCCTCCTTTCTCCTTTCTCAAGCCCTAACAAGCTGAATCTCGGGATCCGCCTACAAATTCACATGCCTTCCAGCCCACCACGTTTCCACACAGGGGACAAATCGATAGCTTTGGCAACACTTTGATTGCCAGCTGTCACACTGTGACCTCCTCACGAATGCAGAAGCAGTCAGATGGACTCACCCTGCCTTGGGTTCCTTGAAGTAGGCTTGTCTGATAAGGCCCCCCCCGCCAGCTGTCAGGCTCACTGCAAAGTCCTCTGAACATGTCATAAGCTGATCCCCCTAAATCATGGTTGAGCATGCTTCTTAAGCTTTTTTCCCTGCCAGCTGTCAGGACCTGCAAGCTCATATCATAAGCACAAGCCACAAGCAGCTCAATCTCTCAAATCTTGTCTAGGCCTAAGTAGCTCAGCTGTTAGTTTACTGTAGTCGCATAAGCGTGCGGTGTTCCGCCTTAAAGTGAATGTGAGCTGATGCGTGCTGACAAGGGAGGATTATAACATCTTTGAGATTGAAGACCTGAACGCTTATCTTATTGGACAATTTAAGCTCGAAACTTTCCAAGCGTTGTTGATCACAAAGCGCTTGCACCTGAAAGGGTCTGAGCTCTGCCAGTGCTTAGCTTCTCAGTGGCCTTGCTTGTTGCTTCATCTAGACGCCTGGGATCTGGAGTAGATAGTGGAGAAAGCAAGCTGTGAGTGTAATCAAGTTCAAGTAAAGCCACTGTCTGTATGTTACACCGCTATCCCGTTACTAGGTCTGGTAACATCCCTTAGGTGAATCTCTCCGAAAGTCTCAGGATCAAAGGCTATTCGTTTGTTCAAACTCTTGTGATAATCCGTTCGATTGCCCACATGTTTCCTGTTTGAATTGGGAAACCCATTTCGAGTCCCCGGTTCTTTTGCAGGAAGACGGAACAAAGAAACTGAAGCAATCGTAACTTGGAGCCAGGCTGGGACACATTCGGCACCTATGGCAGGCATTGGGCGCTGCTGACAATCAAACCGATCGACAGAAACATCTGAGTGGTGAGAGACGCAGCTCTTCTTTCAAGCTATGGCGATCGGAATCGGTCGACGAAATCATTGAAGGTCTCTGGAAAACTTGAAAATTACGAAGCGCTCTCGTAGCTTTACGTTTCCATGTTGGCCTTCCCCTAGGTAGCTCACTCTTTTCTCTAATTCGCAAAGACAAAAGTCATAATCACTCTTTGATTCGAAGCTGAAATTGAGTCCCCCTGAAAGTGTCTCTAATCTGGCTGCATGCTTGAACGCGTCAGCTTTGTGTGTGTTCGACACTCCCTCTCTGGCGCGTGCAGTGTCTCGAGGCTCTACAAACCTACCGACCCTTAACCTGTTTTTCCGAAAGATACTTTTCGTTCTGAGGAGAGCTGCACTACATCTGCCAAAGCGCCCTCGTATCTGCTAATCCGCCCAGAAAGCCCCTTCACAAAAGCAGCTCACACAGGCTCTCCGTCCGTTCTGATCATCGCCACAGAAACCCTCTCATCTCCTCAGCCCAAAAGATTGTCTGATTCAGCTGGCTGGCGAAGGTTGAGGCGTCAACTTGGTGCCATCCTTTTGCTTATTAGCTAAGGATGTTCCGCTTAATGTTCCGCTTAAAATTCCGCTTGTAAGTGTTCTGCGTTGAGGCTTGTCTTTCTTGCTGGCTTCTGGGCTTAATCGAGCACGAAGCCTGACATTCTCGTCTAGAACCAGCCGATTGGGTTTTATCGAGGCTCTTTTGTGCCATTATGCAACCCCTATCGGGAGCAAGCAATTTTGTAAACAGAGCGCCTTTCAATTTGTAGTGGTTTTCACTGGCAGCTAACTGAGCAATGCTAGGAGGCCATAGCAGAGACCGTCTGACAAACAGTCGAACAACGCAATAATGGCAAGCTACAGCTACAAAGTTGTTCACGCCTTCTGTGTGGTTCCTGCTTCCTTTCTCGACTGTCAGAGTAACGGTGTCAACATCTGTGAAAGGCGTCAACCCCAGATTGAAGTCCCCGCTTCCCACCATTCAGGGCGATCCAACTTTGGGAGCCTGTTAAAGAAGGCGACCGTCTATCTCCAGCACGGCTCCGACGGTCGCCCTAACACAGACGTGACAACTGAAACGTCAGCCGCTCAAGAAAAGGAGCCCATGAGCCCCTCAGGGCCCAATCTAGCTCTACCGACATTACCAGGAATGTCACGGACGGCGACAAACGTTCTCCTTTAAGCGCAGGTTGTCGCCGCTCTTCGCGTCATTTGCGGATTCGTACGAGAACTGGGGGTCGATTCGTCCAGAGCCGCTCGAAACAGCCTGCGGTAAGTCGTAATCATTCAAGTTACCGGTCTGTTTTTTCTCCGTTTGCTTATTGCGCTAGCACTGCGCTACTTCCGGCTGAAAGCCTTTCTAGACTGCATCAGCAGCGCGCCTCAAACTACCACTTTGAAGGTGCGGTGACTGCAAGCGCGGACGCACCATTTGCGTGTGACGTCAGCGACTCACTGTTTCCACCAGTGGGTTGCTGACGCCAACGAGCGGCTGTTCAGGACTCTCAAAACAACCACGAGGAGTTCTAATCCTTTTCCGCGAGCCCTAAGAGAGGGTTGTGGTGCGTACCGGTGGGACCAAGCTGGAAGACGTACATTCGTCCTTTAAATTCTCTTTTCTCTGCCGGGTTTTGATTGATAGTTTCCGTGTGTTCGTGTAACGTACACGTATCCATGCGTCAGAGCCGTCTTGTTTTAGCACAGGTTTCCAGGAACCCTGGCGGCTGAGGGTCGAAGCTTCCAGTGACTAGACGTGTCGTCACGTTGCACAATTCATTGATAGAGCATTGATTTCAACAGCTGCTCTTTCCCCTTCTTCTAGTTGCACCAGGAACCTCGCACCACCATGTATGCTTCCCTTTCCCTCTCGAAGCCGAAGGGGCGGCCAAAGAGAGGAATCTCGTGCTCTGATCCTGAAGAATGTCAGCTCGGCGTCGAAAATCGCCTCTCGCTAAAGAGATCTGCTTTTGCAATGTCTTCTGATGCCGAGCAAGGAGGTTCGTATCTCAAAACATCGCGCTTTCCGCTTTCCTTTCTGTTTTGAAGTGAGACTTTCCACGTTCACGATCCACGAACGCATTCGGGCTTTTCACTTGACCCGAAGCATTTCATCGAGCAGCTGTAACCAAACTATCCTTTCAGCAGCTGTAACCAAACTGTCCTTTCTGGATGATTGCGGCAGATTCGAAAACCCAATCAGAAGCGACACCAGTCGCAGTTTGTAGAAGTTCGCTTCAGCAGAACCAGCAATCTCACTTTCTCTCGGTTTTCTCTTCCTAGGAGTTTCACGGTGCAGCACCCCTCGATTGCAACAAACTGTCTTGACGGCTCAAATGTTGACCGAAGCAGACCACACTTCAGCGTCTGATCTGGGCTCCCCAGCGGATTCCCCCGGGCTGCGAAGGACCGGAACCGGAAGACACCCCGAGTCCCAAAGCACTCCCCCTAAAACTTCCGAAGCGCCCGCAGACCTGGCGGTACGTACCGTGGACCTCCCGTTGTATGGGACCTGGAAGCCGGCGGTTTCAGGGGGGGCGGTCGGGAAGAGAGTTGCCATGGCGAAGAAGAGTTGCTTAGGCGGGGCCAGCGCCTCCGCAAAAAATCCGGCAGTCTATTCCCGACCCAAAACGGCGCCGGATGTGAGAAAGCGAAAACCGTTGCGGTCGGCAGAGCTTCCCCTCGGCGAGGGAAGCGAGCTACGAACGGCGTTCCATGAGTCGGGGGGATCACAAACCGGGGAGCCCTGCTCGAAACGCCGCCATGGGGGGTTCGTTCCAGACGGCGATCCTACCCCCCAGAGAGACAGTTACTTCTCCGAGAGCGGCTTGGTTGACGCGCCGCCGTTGCTGCAGCCGTTCCTTTCACTGCCACGTGGCTGGTCGCCGGGCTCTTTGGTCGCCGCAGATGTGCCCAGAACGAACGGAACGAACGGAACGAACGGTTCGAAGGCTCCTGAAGTCTGGTGTCTGCAGAAACCGGAGGGGAGGAGATCGGTGGAAAGCACCGGGCGATCCGACGGGCCGCTTGGTGGTCGGAAGGTCGGTTTGGGTCTGGGTGAGCAGGAGGTTAAACGGGAAACCCCGTTTCAAAACAGCTGGCCCGTCGATTTGCAGTTCCGCCCAGGAGGGGACTACTTGGTTCTGGGGGAACGCTCAGCCGGGTCAACCGTCGCGGTTAGCTGGGTAAACGCGCCTCACAAAACGGGGTTTTGCGAAGCTAACCCCCTGGCAAAGGACGTGGTTAACAACGCAAACCGGGGACTTCGTGGCGCGAATGCTGGCGCTGGCTATACAAACGATGGGTTTGATGACTTAAGGGAAAGGGCTGACGACCTGACCGCCTCGATAACCGCGCTCTTAACCGACCACATGCGCGCGCTTCTCGACGCCCAGGAAGCGCAGCTCGGACCGGCTGGAACGGAGTGCCCGGTAGAGTTAACCCCGGGTCAGGTCGCCAAGATTCTCAACCAGCAGGAGCAGATGAGGGCCGCGCTAGCGTATTTCAAAACCTTAACCGGCCCAAAACCCACCGGGTTAAGCCCGTCGGCGGGGGGGGCCTTCTTCCCCGGAAAGCCCTCTCTCAGCGGAACCCAGTCCTACGCCTCAGAAACGGCTTGTCGGGTAGTGCCGGTCGGGGAGACACAGAGCGGGTTAGAAAACCGGGTTACCAGGCCGGTAAACGGGTTTGGTGGCGAATTGTCGTCTGCTTACGAGGAAACGGAGCGAGCGTTAGGTTTGGCAGAAAAAGAGAACGGACGAGAGAAATGGGCGCAGGACCCACGTTTCGTTCCGCTCGCGAGCGGGACTCCGCTAGAGGCGCTGGCGGAACCAGCGGAGCACACTTGGCAGCTGGACGGGACCTGTTTCGGGGGCGAGTGGAGCGCACAGGGGCACGTGGCAGCCCCCCTGTGGGGCTCTCCTTTTGCTGAGCAGATTGGACTGGGGAGCCTCTTTTGACGCGTTACGTACGGGCTCGATCAGTTTCCGAAACTGATTCGGCAAGAGTTGAGCAGAATTTGAAGGAGACGGGCAAGACCCTAGGTCGCTGAGATTACTTCGCGAAAGCGAGGTCCATCTCTGGTTCCGAACGATTTTAGCGTTCAGCAAAGCGCCCGGCAGTGGGTTTGGGGCGAGTCGCTAGACACTATCTTATTAGGTCTCTAGTCTGAGATACTGTGATCAGCAAAAGTGGAGAGTCCGGGGGTGCAAAAACATTCCGTTCGCCAAATGCAGATACGGAAACAGGGCGTGTGACACGAAAGGAGAGTATTTGAGTTGCGCAGCCGGTGATTGCCTGTAGAGGGCGGCATTCTCTATATGGTTTGGCCCATATGCCGTGGACTTCCGCAAGTGGTTATTACTTTGAGAGTTTTGAGTTCTTACTCAGATACTGGCACCCACTGAGTTAGGAGCTTCAGCTCAAGGGTTATAAGGTATTAGTTTATATTAACGTATAGGGAGTCGCGTCACTCCAGAGTCATCACCACTTTGGACGTCGCCAATTGTCAAAAGTCAAGATTACGGGACAGGCATACTTCGACGATTTGGGTGCAGTCAGTTTGTCGAGATAGTAGTTCGGTGATCAACCGAGTTGTAGTCCTCAGCAGACAATCGTGAAGCGACAGTCAAAAATCCTTCGTACGTAGTGGATCACAGATAAAAATCTTATGATATTTAAGGCGGAATATAGGCTGAGACTTAGAGAAGTTCTAGGATTGTCGTCTGAGTTTCTTGAGTCGTGTATGTTACGTACCCACGTTCCAACGTTTAGGCCCTGAAGTCGACTGTAGCCTCGCAAAAGGCTCTAGAGTGTTTCAACATTTCAAGACTTTTTCTCGACTCAACCGCAACTCAAAAGGCCGCGCTGCGCGGCAGTCAAAGTCTTTGCTTCTGAGTGTTTGATCGTGCCACGGCGAGAAGTCCGACTTTCATCTGCCCGTAATCTGGTGTATGCTGTGCATGGCGCTTCAATTCAACAAGACGCAAAGACGGTTTCATCGAGGCAATTCTTTACTTCAGTGCGTGCGCGGGCCAGCTGACATTCGTCGCCGTTTTCATTCTCAGAGACTCATGATGGCAGTACGTGGGCCTAGGGGCAATGATCCATCCGATTGTGAAACTCAATGCATTGTAGAAGACTCAACTTTGCATATTTGAGACATTCGATCTTCACGCAAGCGGGTTGCTCTAGCTTAGACGTTGCAACCACAAGAAAATTGACCTACGTGGCATGATGACATTAGGAGGACATTAGCGTGCGGCATGGTCCTCTTGCGATCTAGCTTGAGACTCTCTAGCTTGAGACATCTGGTTTATCTTTTTTAATTTCCAAAAAACTTGAACCTATACTAATCAATAAGTGCGCGGAGCCCAATCTGGTAATCGGCCGCGGCCCCATTGCCCCCCATTGTAACTTTGCTGGCATGCAGACGGATGGCCACAATGATGGCGGCTGGCCATATATCTATGGTTGCGTATCATTGAGCAGCCGGGCCGGCGTTCCAAGCGTCGCGGTGCTCGTGAGCTGCTGGAACAGTGATAGCCGCAGTAATGCGGAGTACTACGCAAACGAGACGCAATCAAACTTATGAGCCTTTGTGGACCACAGGCTCCTTCAAGGGTACCGTCATTTTGAAGTGGCACCGCCGGGGTACGTATTCTACAGACCACTTTCTTAGAGGGCCACAACCCCCGGCCCCCTCCGGGGGGGCTCAACCAGTCAAAATTTGCATCAAGCCTAAGGCCTCATAACCCACAAAGCGGGTCAAAATATGGGGGAAATCGCCCTGATTTAGATGTAAAAAGGCCCTCGAGCCCCCCTTCCCCCGACCGATCCAGGATACCAACCCGGATACCAAGCCTCAGCCCCCCCCCCCATGCATCAGAATACCTACCCCGCTGCCACTTCAAAGTGACGGTACCCTTAACATAACGAAGCGATGTGTGATAGCAAGATACTCACGAGGCACCAAATGACCGACCACCGCCTTGCTTTGCAAGGCGCAACGTTGCTTGAGTAGTGGCGGAGTTCGTTAGCCCGAACGAAGCAAAAAGGAGCGGCGTCGGGGTCCGAGACAGCTCCTGGTGCTGGGGTCGAACCAGCGACCTCAAGGTTAACAGCCTTGCGCTCTAGCCAACTGAGCTAACCAGGAAACGGTGATCGAAGTTGTCGATCTGCGTTACAATATATGTACCTTTATTTTGACGTCGTTACCTCAGCTGACGTCTTGGCAACACGACAGCATGCCGTCACATTACGTATGCAACATCTGACTGCGGACGTCGCAAGCGCGCGGATTAATACCGGTAATCCGATAGAGTCCAACCCCGGGGGGCCTGGGTCAGGTGACCAGGACTTTTGGAGGCTGAACTTTAACGTCGAGTCCGCAGCCCACAAGGCAATAACCGGTCATCGTGGCGATGGGCGGGGTACGAATCCCGGACGGTAGCACTGGAATTTGGACGTTGAGATCCCTAGGATTGCGGATGTGAGGTCAGCATCTTTGCCTACGTCAAGGAAGAACCTAGAAACTTTAATGCTGCGAGATCCGGCCGATGATTTGATTCGATCCAAATTGGATTCTGTGTTCACAAATCAAGTACCCGGTGCAAATCATTTTGAGCCCATGCTAACCTTATACCGCCACAAGTCCTCTGCTCGGTGATTGACACTGTTGACAGGGCAGTCCCGCCGGCCGTCTCAAGTATGTCCTCATCAACCATGTCGTCATCTGCTTGGAAAAGGCTCAAGCCGCCAGCGTCTTTTCATTTGACTGCCCGGTCAAGTACCGGTAGCTAGAACAATGGCGCTCCCGGGGAACCGTGAGCCTCAATGGAGCCTTTTATGCAGTCACCCTCCGGAAGTGCCCCCGATTCCAACATCCCTGATCATGCAATGTGCATCTACCGGTCTTTGAATACTGGACTTCGGTGTATGAGGCCATGCGTCGTGACGTGGGCGGAATGCAGCTGACCGTGAGGTGGATCCTGAAGCTAGCGTTGAGCTGAGCGCAGCTCATGCTAGCTCAGTAGCTGACGGTTGAAGCCAGGAGAGTTCAGCAGAGAAGTCCAGACTTTGGTCTTCAGCAAGCCAGATAATCCTGCTGCAGACCTCCAGACATTTGGCATTGCTTCCTCGTTCAGCTTCGCATTCGGACAAACAGAACCTCCAGTCCAACAAAACAGAGTCCTTGCTTTTCAGCTGCTCAGGAAACAATGGCTGCCTCTCAGTGCATGATCGTTATCGCCGCCCTGCTTGCGGTGGCCTCTGTGGCTCAGGCCGACCGCTTCGACGCGTACCTGTATGGAAGCAACGTCATCAGCAACATTGCCACCCCTCCCACTGCCAATGGTGAGTATTACAGCATTGCAGACATCGTTATCCTGTTTTCACTTTTTCCTGTTCATTGAAGTCTTCATTCGGTCACTGAAGGCTCTTAAGACATCCTTGCACTTTACAGTTTTGGTTGGTATGCTTGCGGTTCTGAGGAACTCTGAAACAGGGAAACCCAAGTGAAGACGGGTCTGTACTTCAAGGGCGTCTCAAGCAGGGGCATTGTTCTTAAAGGAAAGAGCTTGGCATGTCAATGGAATGAGAGGGTGGCATGTCAATGTAGTGACAGCTTGGCATGTCACCTAACGAGGAGCCGTAGCACAAGCACTCCAGGAAGACCTCAGGGTGCAGCAGAATGCATGACGTCACACTGTGTCCTGGGTCTTGCATTGAGCGCTAGAAGGCAATGCTGTGCTTTTTGAATGATGACATCATCACAGCAGATACCTTACACTTACAGCTAGCAGATGTGGACAAGGTCCATGTTAAGGTGGCTGTTTTGATGCATTTGTCACAAAAGCTCGGCAGCCGGGAAAATGACATCTCAGTTGCATATCTCAAGCAGGAAACACTACTACATGCTTTCAGCTGGACTGGGGTTACCGAGCTCTGTTGCTTTATCCTGCCTGTTCGACAAGATAATCCCTTCTGGTGTGCTCATTAACCTGCACTAAGGATTCCATAAATGACCTTGACTTCTCCTGGCTCCTGGCTCATTCGTCCGCTTAGCTTTGCTTTCTCTGCTTGTTTCCTCCTCCCCTTCATTCTCACTTTGAGTTTTACATCAGCAGTCTGAGTTTCTCTCCTCCTCTTCACTCTCGGCATCCAGTTCATATCCGTTAACCAACATTCCGACACATACGAGTCACGGCCGCTCAGACTTGACAAGCTGACCTCAGCCCTGGCAATTTGTTTGCTGTACACAGCTTAGAAAAGAAGCCTGTTCAATCTCATGTTGGTCCAACCAGTAGTTACAACCTCCCCAAACCTCAATAGGGAAGCCCCCTGGCATGCACATTAGGGTAGCGCCCCTTCAATTCAGGCGTTCTCTAACTGGGATTTTTCAATGGCAGACTCTCCATAAGATTTCAGGCCCTCAATCCCCTGGTTTATCATCCGTACCTTGCTAGTTTTGAAATCGCCAAAAAGGATATTTGAACCTGCAAAACCAGCGCTATTTGTCAGCAAGCATTAGATGATCAATCCTTCATCAAAAGACTCATCTTTGTCAGGGTCTCTGTCCTTGCTTTGGCCCTTTTCTTGGCGGTACTAGCACTTCAGTTTCTAACACCCCAATTCCACTTCCTACTTCTCTTACTTTCACCTCTCCTTTTTTCAAACCCCTCCTCTGCTCTCCTCTGCTCCTTGTCAGTGTTGACAAATGTCGACTGAACTTTCTCAAATATAGTGTTATTTTTTTAACACCTTTTCACTGTCTTCTTTACAGGCGACCTTGATGGCAGCGGTACCTCCGTTGTGACTGTCACTGGCTCTCAGATCTGCCTCACTGCAACATGGACCAACCTTGCAACGGTCACCCGCTACCACATCCACAAGGAGGCCTTCGGCAACCGCGGCCCCGTCGTCGTCAACTGGGTTGACGAGAGCACCCCCAACGCGTTCCCCATGAACACAGGTAACCTTGTCTGGTTCAACCCTTGGTTTAGGGTAGGGTTAAAACCACAATTTCTAATAGCTTGAGGCAAGAGCAACCCCAACGCCTTTCCCAGCTACACATGTAGAGTTGGCTGGTCAACACCTTGGTTTTGGGTCTGATAATTTTCCAGTTAAACTGTGTTGGCAAGAGCCACCCTAATTCTTTAGTAAGTATAGTCAGCTGGCTAAGACTTTGGTTAAGGCTTAATCCCACTTGACAGAGGCCTTCATCTGTCTCGACTAAGGGCGCTGTTGACTGCAAAACGTACTCGAGACAGTCATTCTGAACTTCCATCACCCATTATCTCGCAGCCTCACTGCCTCTTCGGTGTAATCTGTGGTTTTCTGGTCTTCTTTATATGCAATGCCAGCCTGTATTGAGTCTGCCAATGCCCTTGTCGACTGTTTCTTCTTCGGGTTTGGTCCCAAAGTTACTCCAGTCACGAGGTCCTAACGAAGGGTTGAACTGAAAGGATCGTCGAGCTGTTCCACTTTTGGCGACTGTCAAGACGCGTCACTCCGAACGAGTACGTAGTTTTACGGACGGATGGTATGATCAGACTTGATTTTGTCAGACTTCGAAGCTTCCGGTGCGCCGCGACAACGAGAGCACTCACAAGCCCTCTTCACTTCCCGCAGGCAACAGCGTGACTACCTGCGCCATCAACAACGCGATTAACAACAGCACCGCGGTTACCCCCGCCCTTATCGCTGACATCCTGGCTAACCCCGCCGGTTACTACGTCGACCTGCACACCCCCGAGACCAGGGTTATCAACGGGGTTACTGTCAGGTAGGGAAACCAGTAACCTAGTAACCAGAGACATAGGCCTTTGGGCAGTCTTGAAAGAGGTCCTGTTATAAACTTCCTGTCTGCTGTATGTCGAAGCCCTTCTCTGGTTGCTCGTGCAGTCGGTCGAGTGGATTGCGAGGCCCTTCACGTCAGAAAATCTCCCATCTTTCTTCAGGTTACAAGTATAAGTCGTAGGTTTCACAAGCGCCTTGAAATTTTTGTGCCTCACTGCCCACTGCTTCGACGTCATTGATGCCCTTTAGTACCAGTCGGATCCCCAGTCTGGTTACTAAACGTTGGGCCAGGTTGGAAAAGAACGACTTCTGAATCCATCCAGCTTTCAACCTTTCGTTTGTGGGTAACCCAAGTTTCAAGTTGCCTTCCAGCTGAAACAGTTTCCAGACCTTCGGTGCGATACGCAGTCAGCTGCAGCCCCAGACCGGTTGCCACCAGGCCGCCTATCCATTGTACTCGCAAGTTCCCGAACCCTGTTCTTGACCCAATGAAATCCACATTCTGACGTGACTTGTATGCTCCGTGCAGCTTCCAGACCTTCGGTGCGATCCGCGGTCAATTGGAGCCCCAGACCGGCTGCCGTCAGGCTGGTCTCATCGAGTGCGGCGACTCCCGGGCAACGCTCTCGTGCTGCAACCCCGCCACCCAGATGTGCGTCTCGGGCGGGTGCGTCAACAAGTAAGACGGTAATGTTTGCACGCGTCGGGCTGAGCCGGAGCGTTACACCCTGGCTGAAAGGATGAAGGCCCGGAGTAGACGCCCATTTAGAGTCGTGTCATAAAGTATAGTTGTAACGGTGGTCGCTGATGGGCTGGGGAGCGTTACACTCAGGCTGACATAACAAGCGGTTGGCCGAGTTTGTTAGTAAGGAAATTGTATAGCGCGAGGCGTAGGATTTTGCTCGTTTGGTCGGTCGAGATTGGACCGGAGTCCTCTTACGATAAGTTGGACCTCTGGATTGCCCCAAGCAAGCTAGCGATTACAAATTCTGAAAAAGTTTTTTGGTCAAAGAGATATGTCGGAGTTAATTTACAAAGCCGCTCACGTTTATGAAGTGGTTATCAAAAGGATTCCGAAAGCGCGCGCTGGCAAATTGCACCAGCTCGGGCTCATTGACCCATTACATATGTGCATGGCTATGCATCAACCGGCCTGTCATGTTGGCGCTGACGAAGTTGACAGTTACAATCATGTTTTTACTGGAGTGGCTTTAAGTTCCGCCTGCAACCCCATGCCTTAAAAGTGAAACGGAATAGTGTATAACGTACACCGTGCACTCTGCATGCTATGGACAGATCTGAACCTCATGCATGGTTCAATCGTTCATACTGTTGAATATCTCATGCATGCATCCACACGGCCAATGATGATCATCGGATCGGACGCGTGCGCTCCGAACGTACCTCTAGCTGATTGGATGTAACGTACACGCATCCCATGTCATAATATGGCACGTACGGTCAGATCATGCAGTAGGCTCAGCTCGCATATAAACGTTCGGTTTTAGATTAATTCATGAACGCAAGCTATATCATGCAATACCTTCAAACAGAACTGATGATGGACGTTATTGCAAAGTAGGCGGGCTTCAACACATCGATATGGCAGTCCACGGTATACGTCTCGAGTGATCAAGTACGACTCTAATGAACGGCCACCAACGCATTGCGGCGGCAGCCTATTGTTCAAAGGGCCCTGCGGTCCCCGACAAAGGTAATCAAACGGTCAGACAAGAATCGATTCCATCAGTCCGATCAGGCCTTCCATCATAATTGCAAGGTCAGTGGCTACAGGGCATCAGTGGAACTTAATTTGGAAGATCGAAGCAATAATCCGAGTCCGATCGAATTGAACATATGCAACCTTGATGTTGGTCGACGGTGTACGGTACACTGAACGCCGAAAGGAGTCAAGGATCCGCAGATGTTATCAACATTCTATCGAAGACGCATTGAACAAATCCAAAACGAGCGGAGCCACGGTAACTCTGTCGACAAAACTGTCCTGCCTCAGTTGCCTAGCTTTAGTAATATTAGCTGTCACTACGTCGTGCATACGTAGCTGAGCTTTGTCTGCGCTGCGCCTGATTCCCAGCTCTTCAAGGCTTTCTCTAATCACTGTCCTTGCTAGGCTCGGCGCGCTTTGATCTACTTCCTGTAGAGAATTATCCTGTCTAATTGACACTTCGGCCTGAGCCCTTCTCACTAGCATAACTATACATAACCTCAACCTTGACCATGCACTTGCGATTATTCCTATGCGTGCACTCCGCGTCGCAAAAACGGCACTACAATCGAAATCCAGACCCATCCCGCTCTTAAATCTTCCTTGTCAAAACCATACGGTCTAAATCGCATCGATCAGACCCTAAGCGTCGCACCCAAGCAGGTTGGGCCGCACAAAAGTGTCGAGCAAGTTTCTCGGGCGGATGAAAGTGTTGCCTCCGAACGCCTCTCTCGCAAGCAGCTGATAAAAACTGGTCGTCGCATGAAGAGTGTCCCAGAATAAATACTGTTCGGGATTTGGGCAAACGGTCGATCCGGGGGCGCCACACGTGATCGCCGTGTTGGCGGGACCGCCCGCGCCGCAGCACGACGAGTTGGCATTCGTAAGACCTGGCATGACGGGAAGTCACTTTAGCTCTCTTTAGGGTTCTGAGACTGTGGGGATCGCTTTTGAACAATTCGGCTTTGTTGAGGCCGATGTAGAAAGAGAAATCAGTCTCCATCCCTGTCTATCGCCTATTTCTGGCAGCTTGGAAGTGTCCTTGGTTTGCTCTGGCTCTTATTCGCGGCAAAACGGCTGTTGCTTGAGAATCGGCGCGCGAATCAAGGGTCACTTGTTGAGAAACAGCGCCAGAGTCTCTGATTACGTCTAAGGATTCAATTCTGCAGTCCTGGCAGGACCGCTCACGACGCAGCGCGACACGTTGGCGGTGGTACCTGGGGTTAAACGTCTTTTTGCGACCTTCGTTCTGCATTCAGTTTCAAACTTTTCTGAAATGGAGTGAAGTCGACGCGATCCGCCGACGCAAAAGTCGACCTTCGTCGAACCCAAAGTGAACACTCGCTCTACCAAATTTTGACACTTTTGTTTCTGAGGTTGCTTCATCAGATGTTTATCTGATCTGACGGGCAGCCCAAATGATAGCAGGACGGGAGATCTGGCGAAAAATAGACGTCCGAGATTGTGAAGAGCACAAACGTGGGTTGAACCGCCAGTCCTTTGGTCACGAAAACTCAGACTCCAGACGCTCATCTGAACCCTGGTGAATCCAAATCTTTGAATTCAAGGCCCTAGCTAGGTGCTGCAATATTGAAGTACCGGCTCTGATTGACTGGCTTCGCTGAATTTTCCGAAATTCAACTTTGATCACCGCACACATGACGCTATAAATCTGGATCCCAAAAATCTCGGATTGAGATTCCAAAAGCTTGAAGTCGGGGACGCCAAACCCAACGCTCCCAAACAAGCAAGCCGGCTGGGAGCTCATCGAACACGGGAAGATACGCTATGGCCGCCATCGTCACGTTTAGCACATCGAAAGGCACAACAGGTTATTCGGGAAGCTGCGCCCTAAGCGAAAAATACGAATCTTCCAGAACCGCGCTTAGACCCGCGCTCTAACCCCTACCCTAAAACTCCACAAACCCAGACAGTCAGTTTTCGATTCCCTGACCATTCCAGAAAGCCCCTAAGAGTTAGAGCTAGCACCAGCCCCCAGCTTCCAGCAAACCTTGAGTCTCGATCTCCGGAACTCAAAATGCAAATCACAGCCTTGAAAACACAAAAATCGAAAGCTCCCAACTCCCATCATCAACCAGAAGCTCACCGAACGCAGCGGGGATACGCTATGGCCGCCGTTGTCGCGTTCAGCGCGACGAAGACCACAAACGTCGAGTTGGGGAGCCAAGCGCACCGACCAAGTGTCCAAACCCGCGCGTAAACCCGGGCTTAACCCTAAACCCTAGAACTCAATAAGATAGAATAGCGTTCGGAACCTTGACAGTGGCAATGAAGCCCCCAAGAGCTGGAGCTCGCACCAGCTCCCAGCTTTTAGCAGTTTTGAGTCCCCGAACCCGAAAATCCATAATGAAATACACAACCCTCGGGGATGGAAAAGTCGAAATTAGCAAACAAGATCAACCAAACGCTCACCAAAGGCGGTGGGATCTGCTATGGCCGCCATAGTCGTTCGACGCGTCAAAGACCACGAACGTCGAATTGGGGAGTTGCACCCTCAGCGCCCCGCGCCCCGACCCGGGTGCCTAAATCCACTTTCAATTCTACACCTTAATGTTGAAACCCAAGAACCTGGAAACGGGGTTCGAAATCCTGACAAGTTCAGCGAAGCCCCTCAGAAGTCAGGGCCAAAACTAGTAAGGGCCAAACCTAGCACCGCAGATTTGACATCCAAAAACCCAGGGCTTCGATGTTCAGGCTTTCAATAGGAAACTTGAAACTCACCGAAGTGGGCGGGATAAGCTATGACCGCCGTCGTCGCATTTAAGGCGTCGATGACCAGGAAAGTTGACGTGGGGAGCGGCGCCCTTAGCGGCTCGATCAGCGTTTCCAAACCCTCGCTTAAACCCACGCAAAACCCAAAACCCAAAACCCAAAATCCAGAATCACAAGAACCTAGAACTAGAACTCGGAAATTTGACAATTTCAGCCAAGTCCCCCAAACTCAGAGCCAGAACTAGCACCTCAAAACTCTAACTTCCAATTGTTCAGGCTTTCAACGCTTTCAATCTTGAAACTGACCGAATGCGGCCGGATACGCTATGGCCGCCGTAGTCGCGTTCAACGCCTCAAAGACCACGAATGCCGAGTTGGGGAGTTGCGCCCATAGCGCCCCGACCCGGGTGTCCTAACCCGTGCTTTAACCCTGGAACTTCCAAACCTCAAAACCCAAGAATCTAGGGATCCGAGGTTCCGACAATCACATCAGTGAAGCCCAACCATGTATTCGACGGAAAACTCACCAAACGCGGCGGGATACGCTATGGCCGCCGTCGTCGCGTTCAAGGCGTCAAAAACCACGAACGTCGAGTTGGGGAGCTGCGCTCTGAGCGCCCCGACCAGGGTGTCCAAACCCGCGCTTAGTCCCTGGGCGGCCGCGACCACGGCCGCCGAGCACTCGCCTGTCGCGCTGAGATTGCGCACCGCCGGGACGCAGCCGACTAGGGGGACGTTGAATACGAGAAAGTTGCGGGCGCCATAAGCGTACGTGGTCTGCATTAATCGGGGATTTTGTAAGGCATAAGGAGGCGATTGACGTCAAAAGATCGACGTAAGCAAAGTCCTTGGATTGCTGAAATTTTGTGGTTTGCAAAGCCATTAGCGGACGTCTGTCGTGGGGGGGATTAAATGCAAGGAAGTTACGGGCGCCATAAGCGTACATGGTCTGGGGAAAATCGGGGCATATGTCAGGCATAAGGAGGTAGTCGACCTTGTCAAGTTCACGTCCCAGTGTCTTTTGGTTGCTCTATCCCTTAACTGCTGAGATTGAACTATGTGGAAGTTGCGGGCGCCATAAGCGTACGTGGTCTGCAATGAAGGGGGGCTTTTGTCGGGCATTATCGTAAAAAGCAACTGATTTCAGCAGAGCGCCATAGTGCCCTCAATTTCTGCTATTGAACCGCGTAGAAATTGAGAAAGCATAAGCGGACGTGTGTCGCGGGGACGTTGAATTCGAGGAAGTTGCGGGCGCCATAAGCGTACGCGGTCTGTGATAAACCGGGCCGTATGTCAGATCGAGGCAGTAGACTCCACAACATTGACGTCAGTAGTGTTTTGTGTTTGCTGAGATCGACGGACTCGGTAGTTGCAGATATGGAGAGCGTACGTCGATCTCTTCACGACACTTCAGGAGGAATTAGTCAGAAAACGGACGGCCTGCTAGAAAGGAAAGTCGACCGCAGACTTCGCGCTCGACTGATGGGCACCATAAGATTAAAGTTCAGCAAAAGTGGTGCGCTTTTGTACGTAAGATCAAGGCGTGATTCGAGCGTCCGAAAGCAGGAGATATGCGCGGTTCATATCGTATGCGGTCGGCAGGCAACAGGGAGAGGCTCGCCGAGCAACGAAGATTATGCGCCGTTGGTCAAGACCTCGAATAAAGACTTCACAGAGAGTTACGGCCGTTGATAAGAGTCGGAAACAGATAACTAACAGGTAATTGTGGAGTCGTCCAAGTCTTGGCAGACATGGTTTTCTTTTGATTGGCGAGTGCGGTGGAGGCGCCATAACGAAGCAGAACGTGACTAGTCGGCAAGGCCTTATCAAGCTCATTCGATTTCCCATCGAACAGTTCAGAGGCGTGTAAAAAACTGAGGCGCCTAATCGGCTTCAAAGAAACTAAGCCATCCGATTCAAAATGATTTTTTCAAAGAATGGTCCTTCCGTCTTTATTTTGGAACTACGAGCCCTGAACAGAAATTCCGTTTGCTCATCCTTGATTGGGTCATTACGAGTCTGGAGCGTGAAAAAAAGCCAGATTAGGAAAAGCAAGACAACGATTCAGAGACTGTCGCGGCTGGCTGTGATTCCTTGGTCAACAAAGCGAGCTGATACCTTCGCTGACGCTTTTGCTGACGCTTTTGCTGACGCTTTTGCTGACGCTTTTGCTGACGCTTTTGATAACGTTTTGCTGACGTTTTGCTGACGCTTTTGCTGACGCTTTGCTGCTGCAATTCTACTGTCGCTCAGACGAAAAAACTCAGATGGATGCTGCTTTGTCATAAGCGATGGATGCTTACCGTGATTGAAGTCCCGATAGACGTCAGGATGCTCTGTGCATAAGCGGGGAAGTCAGATACGTTCCCAGTGAAGCCTCGGAGGTCGTTCGATCCAGTGGTATAAGTATAGAGCGCCGCGCCAAACGTCTCGGGGCGGGGGTATAAGGGCGTGATGACGTTAGCGTTTGACGCGTTCTGCCAATAAGCTATGGAGTCGCGGACGAGCTGGGTGAAGAGCTGGGTCTGCATAAGGGGAGCGCATATGTCAGGCTGTGCCGTCTCCTCTCGATCACAAGTTGGACACTGTAACTCTCCTGATCAGGTCTCAGCGTATCGCTTTCCTCTGTGGAAGGATTTTGATGTAGGAAAAAGTTCTCGTTTGAGGGATCGTCAAGCTCAGGATTCTCCGTTAAACTAAGGTGGAAAGCCGAGCGTGGTCGCCCCAAAACGGGGCAAGCAACACCGAAATAATGTCTCCTGTCCTTTCGTCACAAAATTGCAATTCGGCAGGAGGTCCTGTCGAGATAAGCGCGTCACTCCCACCGGACGCAAAGTTGGCCCCCGAAGAAAGACTAAAGAATGGGGTCCGTTGAATGGGACCAAACCCGCTTCAGGGCACCTCCGATGCTGGGTAAGAGGACGGCAAAGGCCCAAAACTACCCGATCAAAGAGCGGTAACTCTCTGCCAGGATTCCCCGTCGAGTTGAGCGCGCCATTCCCACCAGACGCAAAGTTAACACCAGAAAACTCGACTAACGGTTCTCGCCAAATTGGTATCGAGCACTTTATCAGTCGCTTACAACGCTGGGTTAAGGACGGAAAAGCCTCGAAAGTTACCTGGTTAGAGAGCGGCAACAGTCTGCCAAGAGTCCCCGTCGAGTTCAGCGCGCCACTCCCTTCAGACAACGAGATTGCTCCAGAAAACTCGACTCGAGAGTTCCGCCATAATAGTATCACGCACTTCATGAGCGAACAACGCTGGGTTAAGGACGGAAAAGCCTCGAAAGTTACCTGGTTAGAGAGCGGTAACACTCTGCCAGCTGTCCCTGTCAAAGTGAGGGCGCCACTCCCTTCAGACACAGAGTTTACTCCAGAAAACTCAATGAGAGTTCCGCCATTCTGATATCACGCACTTTATGAGTCGCTAACGACACTGGGTTAACGACGGAAAAGCGCTGAAACTTACCTGGTTAAAGAGCGGTAACACTCTGCCAGGAGTCCCCGTCAAGTTTCGCGCCACTCCCACCGAATGCAAAGTTGGGCCCCGAACAAAGACTTACGAACGGTTTGCGCTGAACGGGACCAAATCCTCAAAAAAGACTAACGATGCTGGTTAACGACCGGAGAAACCCAAAAACTTACCTGGTTAGAGAGCGGTAACACTCTGCCAGGAGTCCCCGTCGAGTTTAGCGCGCCACTCCCACCGGATGCAAAGTTGGCCCCCGAGTAGAAATTACCCCCCGGCAGCAGGATAGGGGTCGTAAACGGGAGGCCCATAAACTCCGCCAGATAGTCAACAATGAGGGGACCATTGGAAAAGCGCCCGCTGCGCAAAGAGAGTAAGAAACGGTCAACAATCGGGTTAGCTGGGGGGGTTTGAGACGAGTTTAAGGTTAGGGTAGGTTAGGTTAGGTTAGGTCAACCGGAGTAGTAGTTAGTCGTGAACAGGGGGCTTATAAACTCAGCCAGAAATCACAACGGGAGAGTCGACAAAGCGTCCGCTGCCAAAGAAAGCCAGAGAGTCTTCATACCCAGGTTAGCTGGGTAGATTTGAGCCGTGTTTCAAATCCTGGTTCTACACAACCCGAGAAAAGGGAGGCCCATATACCGCCAGGATCCACAGCGGCGGGACCATTGAAAAAGCGTCTGCTCTACAAAAGCAACGTTGGCTTTTAACACCTAGGGTATTAGCTGGGTAGGTTTGAGTCGGGTTGAGAGTCTATTTCTACTCAACCGGAATAAAGGGAGGCCCATAAAGTCCGCCAGGCAGGAACGACGGGGCCGTTGAAAAAGCGTCCGCTGCGCAAAGGAATCAGAGATTCTTTAACACCCAGGTTAAGTGGGTAGGTTTGAGCCGGGTTTTTCTTAGTTTTACTCAACCAAAATAAAGGGAGGCCCATAAACTCTGCCAGGCAATCAACAATGACGGGGCCGTTGAAAAGGCGTCCGCTGCGCAGAGAGAACATAGATTCTTTTCACTCAGATTAGCTTGCTAGATTTGAGTCGGGTTTGAGGTGGGTTAACCCAACCGGAGTGGTTCCTCGTAAAGCAAAGGCCCATAAGCTTGCCAGGTCATACACAATTATAGTGCCGTACCTTGGAAAAGCGAACGCGGCAAGCAGAAATGAAGGTGACGGGATCCCTGAAAACCTGGATGAGTCTAGCAAGAACATTGTAGCAAGCTTTCTCCTCATAGGCAAGCCGTTCTTGAGGCTGAAAGGGCTTTGCCATCGAGTCTGCAACCGTTGTGCGATGCAGACTAGACGTTTTTTACGCACTCGAGCGCGACAGTTAGCAATTCAGCCAAAAGCTCTAGTATTTGACCGTCTTATGAATCACCGAGTCAATAAAAGCTGTTTGAAAACAAGGTAAGCGGTCTTGCAAGTCCAATTCACTTGGTGAAAAACCTGAGAGAAAACTGAGGTGGAAGCTCAACGACTTACGTCACGTTCAGTCGGCCCCTTGGCCCAACTCCGTATGGATACCCTAGGCCGACGTAAGATGGCAAGCCCAACAGAACGCTGCAAGGATAAGGAAATTCAGTAACGAAGAGGGAGTGCTTATAATTCAAGCGTGATGAGCTTGATGACAGAAGCAAGGCTTTGGAGGGCGATTCAGGCTGAACAGCATGCCGCAGAAGCGCCTTTGCAGATTTATTGCCTTGAAAGGGGCCTCAACTACTCTCTTCAAATGGCCGGCTACCGCGCAAGAGCACTGAGGTGATTTATCTGTTCTCAGAGATCGGCATTTCGGCACTCCGTTCCCATTCAAATTCTGGCTCCTTGACCATAGAGCGTTTGAATGCAGTTGAGTAAATGCAGTTCTGTGAAGCTACCAGCTTTGAAACCTCAAGAGCTCCAATCACAGTGGCTGGAAAGGAGTGAGACTGTCTGAAAGATGCATTGTGTTCAGTATTACAGGGCTTCAAATTCTCAAAACTTAGCTCTATGGAAGGTTAATTACTGAGGTCTAACACGAAGCAACAGGGGTAAAGAAGGCGATCATCCTCACTTGTTTCCGGTGTCTACCAAAGAGTCACCTACAAGAAAGATGAATAACCTGGTCAGTACGAGAACTGCTTTTAGACAAAAAGCCTGGATTTGTCTTGCAAGTAGTGCAAGCTGGACTTGGCGATCTGAAGAATCTAACGGTCAGTCTGGACCAGGGTGAGTTTGGCTGTTTCCGCAGAGGCTAGTGTTTTCATCATGTGAAGCGAAGCAAGAAGTTTCTAGTATGGCACAAATGTTGGTCGGGAGGTTTGTGCATAACTGTGGTGCATGTTGGAGAAGCTATGCAGACAAGGAAACCTCGAAGCCTTGCGGCCTGCCTAGTTGGACTCCTGCGTTCAATTGCTTGCAGTATGTTGAACTTTCAGATGTCGTTGTCAACCTTCAATCTGTGAGCTTTGCTAGTTCTGTGCTTGTGTCTATGTCTAACCCCTTCCAATCTGTCATCCACTACAACCAAGCAACATTTCAAGACCTTACTTGGGAGGGAATCCTCTACAGATGCAAGCAGGCAAAGAGACGCCCAACACTCTTGTAAAGGCCACCACAAAAGCCGGTGGGCGAGCACACTCGTTGACACAGTTGATAGAAAGATTAGAATGCCAAATATTCGATGCATGCAGACATCAATTTAGAAATATGAGTAGTGGTTAATCAGGCAGGAATGAGAGTAGGCAGCACTGAGATTGAGAATGCAGCACCAGGATTTTGCAATGCCCCCACGCCTGGCAAGTGTCTCTCCACGTCTTGAATTGACCGCAAGAAAATAGCGCGAAAAGGTGATAGCTTTGAATGCAGAGGGGTGACAGTCTCAGGTGGAGGCGCAATGCCGCAAAAAGGTGATTGAGAACGGAAGAGAAGAAGTTGTGACTCCAATGCTGAGTATGCTAACCATAAGACCCAAAGTTGACCACAGACACAGCGTAAGAAAAGAACAACAGAAAGAAAAAAGTAAGGAGGTTCAATGCTTGATAAGCTCACCAAACACGAACAATGCTGGGACATAGGGGTACGTTCCGCTCGGGTTGTAAACAAAACTGGAGGCTGGAGACACCGGCACGGCAGCAGTGCCATTGCCGAAGTTAACAGGTGCCGGGGCTGCAGCTGGCCCAGGAGCAGAACTGGTCGTCCCATTTTGCAGCAGTCTCCTCTGAGAGATGATGTGTGACGTCAGCGTGATGTCAGGTCTGCTGAGGGTGGTGGTGGCAGTAGCAAGAAGGAGAAGACAAAGGAGGGCTGAGCGAGGCGCCATTGCTTTCTGGGTTAACCTTTCTGAATGGAGAAAGGGAGTGAGAAGACGGATTCAACAAGTCAGATTCTATGTTGGCAGCCAAGCATGAACTTGACGCCTTCGCAAAAGATTGCTTGACAAATTTTGAAGAAGAACGACCAAGGTCCAAGGTCAAAGCTCGGCTTGCTAGCGCGGCTTCTCTACTAGAATAGCTTGCTTCCGAGCAATTGCCACATGCCGCTTCGTGGGTCCATGCAGCGACGCAATAATTGTGCCCGCAGGTGCTGATGTAATGCCTGTGTAAATATAAACCCGGAAAAGGCGCAAGGGGCAAATGCCCGGTGGTAATATGACGCCTTTTGACGCGCTTTAGGACGGCAGTCAAGTTAGGACTCAGAACACATATTAAATACAAGTGTACAAGTAGGTAAAAGAATAATCGTCGACACGTTATCACCGCGCTACCGGTTTTACTGTACTTTTCGGCCTACCGGGGGAGTCGCTGAAATTTCTTTCGTGTTCGAATCTGGCGCTAGCAGCGCCGTCCATAACCTGCTGAGAAGCCCCGAGGCCGTTCGATGATAAGTCACGTTTTAGAGCGCGCGCGGAAAATACACGAGATTGGTTGCAGGGGAACCGGCCACTGAGTTTCTATTAGGTCAAGTTTTGTCCTAGATCCTAGGTGGACCATGATGGAGCTGGTTCACCATAGTCGGACATTCTCAAAGTCCGTATCCTTTCGCAGCAGACCTGGGATCGGAATTAAAGAAGGTGTAGAGAAGGGGCGAGGCTTGATAGTACAGTGGTGCAGTGGGAGTGCACTAGACTTTAATCGCCGATATTCCGGTAGTAAATCAGGCCAGCTACTGTAGCAGGCTAGATACAGGCGGACGGCAGAACTACAAAATGGCTGGGGGACGACCAGGAATCGCAGCGCTGCCGTTCAGATTCTGACGTCAAAAAATGAACGCTCTCGATCTTTCGTTTATATTTGGTTAGGCAAGGTTTGTCTGAACCCCAGTATTGGAACCGGTCCTGCCAAAGTTTGCGACCCCCTGGCTAAAGGTTGCAGACTGGAGTCCATATGTTGAAATCGGACGGTAGCGCTGCGGTTTCGACCATCGCGAAGTTCTGCGGTCCGCCTGGATAGTTGCATTATATCACTGTCAGCTTTATGAAATCTAGCTTGCGCATGAGGGTCCAGCCGCTGAGCCCAGTCAACAGATATTGCTGTTTGCCAGGTCATAGGTCATGTGCGAGTGGCATGGCAGCGTGCATGGCATATGCGCAGATGCATTGAACCTGAGGCTATCAGCTGAAGGAAGGGGCGGCACGCTCGTCAGCTAATATTGATCTTACCTGGGGCGTAGTACTAGGCCGCGGCACGTACGTATGTCAGAGGAACCATGCACTGGTATCTACTAGCATTTCGGATGTGCATGTTATAGTAGAAGTGCGTGCACATACCGCAATTCGTGAACATCGCCGTGGTGTGAGTCTACCCGAGATGACAACACAGCGTGCAGGTACAACGATACATGATGAGAACGATTCATCTCCTGAATCTGTCGTTTTTCTAAGCTCATCACTGTACTCGTAACACCATCATACATATAACCTGATAAGCCTTAGCACAGAGGGGAGCTGGGGAGCTAAGGATCAGATCATGGTGATTTGAATCTTGGCATGGTGTCGATACGGGAATACGGATTGCAAGTTTGGCGCTCAAGCCTTGAAGTACTCGGGCCCATGTGAACCGCTAGAGTTCTGAGACAGGTCTTTTGGAATTATACCAACTGCTGCAATGAACCTATACTTGGGGTTAGCACCGGTTTGTGCAGCAGAGCACCCAGCAGATCGCTGACTTCAGCATGATCCAGATGACGTCCCTGCAATCAGATTGTATTGTGGAGATTTATCATGAATTCGGAAGCCTGGTCATCAAGCCCAGTCATGATCATCCGGTCAGGCCGGACGGTCTACAAAGATTTGCGGCACTGCTAAGTTCACAATAGAAATACATGTCTGCAGCATTAATTGGTGATTCAAGCCTTATCTTTACGCTTGCGCTCTCCATTTCAATACACAACACCATCTTAGCCTGATGGTAAGACACAGAAATAGGGAACGTGTTTGGATAGGTATGCCACCCCTTTTTCCTTCGATTCTGTAGGGATAAGGACATAGTAGCCCCTTGCACGTGACCCTTGCTTTCTGAGCGCAATCTTCCTTGTAGCATGCCTACTTTTACAGCCCCCGTTGATTCTGCACCCTCCTTTAGAATCCTAGAACAAAGGCGCCCGATCGCGACTCGATTCTAACGCTCTTTTCGCGTATACTTTTGGTCAAACGTTGTCAACATACCGCTTATTTGTGAGCGACGGCCCAACTATCAGAGAACAGGGCTCTCCTTAACTAAAGAGTGAAGTAAACGTTCAATTGAAGCAGCTTGATTAACCCGGCCCAAAAGGACAGATGGGCTTCTAGACAGTCGCGCCCGCGCTGGGGGCGATCATCTTCCATATGTGGGGTGCTTCAAACTTGTTAAAGTTAGATTCGCCCAGTACCTGCTCTGACGCAACAAAAGGTGCCCAATTTCGGCATCCAATGAAGTCACCTAGCTCCCAGCCGGTCCGGGCTCGGAGGAGCTCAACGAACTCTACTAGGATCCGGGCGGCTTTCGTCTCCCCAGTGCTTTTTCTGGGTTTGGTAGCCCTAGTCACCGGAACTTTTGCTGGTTACCGGGGTTTCAAACTGGCGCGACGCGCGGGTTTTGGGTTACAAGAAGACGGCACAGAGAGGAGAATACTTCAGTCAGGTTTGGTAAGGCAATGTGGGGGCTGCATCACTTCTCCAAAGCGTTAAACTGAACGCCCAGTTTCAGACGATTCTGTTACGTCCTCTGACGCAAAAGGAGGGAAGCACAGACACAGAAAAGAACACCCTAAGTCAGAAGAAGAGCTTTCAAAGAGATGAGGGAAGCAGCGAGCATTCAGGATTGAGCTCAATTTTGTATACGCCCGAAGGTGCTGCAACCGTCCGAGAAAACGCAGAGCCGCTTGAGAAAAGGGGAATAGCTGAGGGGACTGAAAAGGGGTTGGAAACGGAACGGAAGTCGGGGGGAAAGACCGGAACGGATACGGAGGCAGATACGGAAAGCGGCCTGAAAGTGCGAGTAATTCAAGACGGACTAAAGGGATCCCTCCACGAAGAACCGGGCTTCGTGCGCTGGCGCGACTGCGTCATCCTCTTCGGTTCGTTCAACGTCAGCAGGGAGCAAGCCCCGGTTCTAGTTGCCGCGCACTCCTGGTCAATAGCGCTCGGCAGCACTCGAACCACGATCTACAACCTGACGACCGGTGACGTCACAACCGGGCCGGATTTTCGGTGCTCATGCACCACCCGGCCGCGGCACTTTCCCCCGGGGGGGTGGTCCATCTCGTCGGGAGCTCCGATTGGAGCGACATGAGCACTTCAAACAACGACGCGTTCCATTTCACTTGGGACGTCAAGGGTGGCGGAACGAGCTGGGTTGAAAGGGCGCGCTATTTGGGAGCGGCGGGGGGGGTTCGCGTGCGAGTTTCTGGGCGAGCTTATGTACTGTTGTGGGGGGGGGCGGCGGCCTCAGGAACGGACCGGAAACTTGGTGCGGGTTTATGACCCGGGGGATGACAGCTGGTCGGATGCGGCGCCGCTTCCTGAGGTAAGGCGCCTATGTCTAAAACGTTGTCTTTCGTGAAAGAAGAATAGCTAACAGCTAACCAGTTGTTTGCGTGTCCCACTGAGAGGGTCGTGAAAGCCAAACAGAATTCTTCTGCCATAGAAACTAGGAGAGCGTCGAAGTTGAATGGAGCTTGATCAGGGACCGTACTCGAGCTGAGCATTAGAATTTTGTGATGCTTCTTCTCCACTGACACTTGATTCACGGACCGAGAGATTTTCTGACGTTTTAAGGCCCTCTCGGGACTTCCCGCTTTATCAAGAGGGATTCATGATTGGCCGAGGATTCTTGATCAACTATCGTCCCATAGTCAAATAGCTTTTGGGTACAGGCGTTGCTAAGTCGTAGGACTGTGGCGAAGTTTCGAGCCCCTGGTTTCAAGCACACCAATCACTAGACCATCCTATTCAAACTCCGTTTTCGGGCCATCCTTGTCGGAGCTCTGCCGATTATTGTTCTGGCACGGAAGAGCCCGATACGAGCTGATGAGTCTAGTCAGAAACGAGGGGGAGAAAGACAAACACGACAAGCGGCTTTCTCGCTTACTGCCGAAAGGATATGCCTCATACGCCCTCCGAGGTCCTGTAGATGACGTCACGGGCGCTTCCGGATTTTCGCAGTCTATCTTCTGGGCTTCTACCTTTGTCAGCGAAAGAGCCTGGTTTCCGCGTCGCAGATAGAGAGTTTCTAAATACCTTCCGCGATCGAGACCCGTGATCGAACCAATAGTCGAATTCAGGATGAGCTGTGGTGAATCTCAGAGCTTCCAGATACCAGAGAAGCACGCTTTGCGCAGTTTCAGAACCGCTCAAAAAGACAATTTCGCGGCCTTTGAATCTCATCCCTCTGACAGGCTTTCTAAAACCCCGTCTCCAACCTCACTATTGGATCCTACGGTACCTCAACATGACAACTTCACTGCCCTTACACCTGTCTTCATTGCGCTCTGCAGGCGGCAGATCACATCGTGCTAATTGCTCACGAAGGTGAGCTTTGGGCAGTCGGGGGCGCGTCAACTTTCGACCCGCGCTACGGTTCCCCTAACCCCAAATTCACGCACGACCACTACCGCCACTCCATAACCCAGCTCGCGGTATATAACCCGGCCGTTAACCAGTGGTCCGTGAGGCAGCCGCTGCCTAACCCCAGAGCTGCCCCGATCGTAACCGTGATTCAGCGTCCGGGAAAACGGCCGAGTATGTTGGCGGGAGGGGGCGAAGTGTATCTGGGCTCAAACGGGATGGCGATGACGTCCCTGTCCGAGTACGACTTCGAGGGAGACGTTTGGTGAGAAAAGCGCAGGTTCATATGTGGCATCAAGATGCGACAGCTTCACTCGATGCCACCTTTCATTTGGGTTCGAGAACCTTTGGACATATGTGGAGCTGGCCACCTTCAATGTTGAGGTAAAATCGCCTCTCAAAAGAAAAAAAAAGAGCGTTTCACGTGCCAGTGGCGATGTTTGAGTGACCCGACGTTTAATTTGAATTTTACACCTTTCCGAAGTCACAGTTTTAATGCACTTCTTGGTCAGAATTTAGCAGGCTTGCAAAAAAAACGCTTTTGCGTCTTAAAACGGTTTGCGTCGTACCGAACCAGAAACTCAGTTTCTGCTTGAAACAAACCTCTGAAGACGTGGCGACATACTCGTTGCTCGCCTAAAGAGCCGCTCCGGGTGACGGTAGGATCCAAGCGCACAGGCATAGGCCACAAACTGAGCTCAAAAAAGTTTCTCTCAAGCTTTCCGGGAGCCGTTGATTGTTTGACGAAAGAGGAAGCTGTAAAGGCGCACCCGAATCTGAAGACTCGGGCGCTTTTGTTTTCTCAACCGAGTAGAACGAGATTTCGAACAAGTTTCGAATCTCGACATCTCGAGGCTTTTGCTTTGTACATGGCTTAGCGGGGCTCAATCTCCCGGCAACCTGCGCTGCGAAGCAGTAGCGCTGTCACGCCTGTCGCGCGCCTCCCGTCACTTGATGACCTGCGGTCAAGCAAGGCGACGACGGAGAGCTTTCACCTGCTTTCGTGTCGCCAACGGGGTCCGAATGCCAACGCCCTTCTTACGCTCAAAGCTAAACACATGGCCTGCGCGCAGGTTCTGCCACGTTGATCCGCTTCCGTTTCCGGTCTTCGGAGCCGGTTCCGCTTTCTGGAACGACAAGTGGTACATTCTCGGGGGTGGGGAGAGTTACAATCTGGCGGCCACCGATCGCGTCATGATTGTCGACGTGGCAGATTTGCCTACCCCAGAACCGTGCGCTGCTCAGCAGGGATCGCAGGACAGGGGGTGGTGGAAAAACAAAGCGGCGAGTTGGCAGCAGAACTTCCCCTACCCCAAGCAGTTTCTGGGAAAGCGTAAATGAGTTGGTGCATATGTCACGGTCGGTCGAGAAGTCGGAGTGTTGCAAATGAGGTATGCCAGTCGGTGTCGTCCATAAGGAGTCCAGGACGCTTGGAAGTTGCACCACACAGCTTAGAACGCAAAGCGGACATGATCATATAAGTATAAACCACACGGTGACAGGTGTTTCTCGGTACATGGTATTTAATCGATTACCATATGCATCCTCTAAAGATAATTGAATGACCCAGTTGCAATCATTGAATCGCACGTTCTCGCACAAATCGGCGGGGTTGAAATTTTCAAGTCAACTTCAATCACGAACACATGCATGTAAGTTGCCTTAACACGCTTGGACTAAGCGCATTGATGCGTGAGTGGCGGCACTAATGACCGCCGGTTCTCGATGAAAGCTTATACAAAGCTCCCGCGGGTTAACAAGTATCCGACTCGGTTTATCGCGCCGTGGACATGATTCTAGGCGCATACGAATGATCGGTCAATACGATCGTGCAGCGTCGAAGCAGGCCCGGCAAGCTGCACATTGGTTGAGCTTCCCTAATAAGTAACGCATTGATCACCGTCATCATTGTGATTTAATGATTGAGACTAAGCCTTGAAGCTTTCAAGTTTTCTTTCAAGCGTAGCCTAAGCGAAACACCCGGCGTGATATTGATGCAAACTGAAACATGAACCCGTGCAAGATTGAGTCTCTGCATGTCGGCATAGATTTGCATGTCCGATCTTCATTGCACGCAAGGCCCGGCTGCAAAACGGCCGGACGCGTTGCCACCTTTACTAAGGATATGACGTACGGACGGTCCGGTCTTCGCTTGCATGCCTGGACTAAGTTCGAAGTATCGGACGGCCATGTTTCAATGTGTGGCAACTTTAGGACTGCATGTTGTACAATGACGACAATAAACAGCCGCTGCTGCAAACACTTTCGAAAAATTTCTGGCTTAACACATATCTTTGCCGTGTGTACGTCGGTGGAATTTTACTATTTCTTTTCTTCTAAGGTCCCCCCCTCTATCGCCTTACCCTGATCAATGTGAACTCGCTGCAATGGCGGCACAGCGGGTTATCTTCCTTGTTGATAATCGCATACCCCAACTCTGCCAAGTGCGACATAAAGACTACCAACTCGCTCAAGCTCACATCCCGCCAACTCCACATGACAGTCTTGGCTTTGGGGCCCGGCCAAGTGCCGTCATACACACCACCGTAGTGCAGTTCAAACGACACTTGCGCGGGCAACGGATCGCTATCCTGCCACAGCGACATCACATCGTACTCGAACCCTTCGATATCCATCTTTAGCAAGCTCACTTCCTTGATCTCATTGTCCCGCACCGCATGTGCAAGCGTGATGAACGCCGGGTCTTCCGCCCCTTTTTCCGGGCTTCCCAGGCACTGCTTGTGGTAACGATGGCGCGGGCCTCGGCTAGCCCCGTCATACGTGCAATCAAAAGTATGCACCTCGCAGGGCGTGTTCTCGAGCATCGCATCCTCAAAGTCGAAGTGACCGTTGCTCCCGAGCGAAAGAATTACGCACCCCTCCTTCAGGACCTCGACGCCGCAGAGCCACTTGCCGCCATCCCCCTTTGCTCCCCACCGCTTGAGCGGCATGCCCGGGGGGCAGTCGACGAAGGGCTGGAACAAAGAGAAGCGATTGTGGCCTAAGGGCTCCGTCGGCTTTTTAGGACACGCCGTTTTGTTGCATTGGGTGCTTTCACGATACAGCGCCGCCATTCGCGGAAACAAGCCACCCCGCCAGCGAGAAAGGCTCTCCGACGTGCGCTGCCAGTACGCCTCTTGCGCGCACTCTGGCCCGCCAAGACCTCCGCGGCAGTTTGGGTCCAAAACCTGCAGGAAAATGATCGAGAGCTTCTGGCCGTTAACAATGAATGGGTCTGGGCCGTTTCGGGGATGGTCAGGAAGTGGCTACATGTTCATTAACCAGACTCGAGTAACCAGCCTTGGAACAAGGATAAATCCAGGTTAATATCTTATAACCTGACTCTCAAGTCGATGGACTCAGCCTGGTTAGCAGCCACAACTTCCTGTGGTGGGGGTAGGGTCATAAAACGTGACAGACTCGTTTTTGCGGAAGTGCCGCAGTCCGGTGGCATTAACCTAGCTCAGTGTCTTCCATGGCCTGGTTTCGGAAAAATTCTGTTGCTTAGTCTAATTTCTTAAACCTACGTGCAACAGTGATGTCCACTGAAGAAGAGTTATCGTTGGAGAAGGCTAGGCTTTGATAAATCGGCTGTGCTACCAACTCTAACCCGCAAGCAGGTCCCAAGCCAGGAGCAGTTGACCTTCCAACCATCTTAACCCAAATGAATGGTTACTGAAGGCCAAATGCTAACCCAAGCTAGTAACCAGAAGTTAGCACGAGTCTATTCTGTCCAAGATTTTAGCGTCCCTTCTTGATGTCAAAGCACCTAACCGCGAATGTGTCACGAGTCCCCTCAAACCAAGCAAAAGTCATGCACCACAGTACTGACGCCAGGGAATTCCGGGTTCAATTGCTGCAACTTCTATCCTAGAAACCTGAAACATGCAATAACGTATTCCTTTTGGTCAAACTCGAGAGAGCAAGCGTCTTTGTCTGCTTTTCGCATTAATCTGGTAGAAGCAGCACCTTGAAACAGGTGACAACTCTGCGTGCACACAGCTCGATGTGGAGGGGCACGGCGCACCTACTCAAGGAAGTAGAGTTGCAATACACAATCAACACAACCCCCTATCTGGTAATTGCTTCACCAAGCTTTCTTGATTGAAGCGGGTCGTCTCACTATGTTTCGTTCCAAATCCCTGTGGCTTTGGGCTTGAGCATATTGGTACGACCTCTTTCTTGTTCACCGTCCTGCTAAAATGGTTCACTTGAAAGAGGTGGGGTAAAGAATACAGTGATGACTGACCTGCGGCTTCTCATTGAGGAAAGCCATGCCGCCGTTGGTGCGAAGGGGCACCATGACGACGACAATCAAAACGAAGGTCACCACGATAAGGAACAAGATGCGGACGTCTCTGCTGCTCCAGCCCTTGGCCACCGCCGCGACATCTTTCGGAGATTCCGTAGACTTCATTGTTCCTCTGTAGAGAAACCTGCAGAACAAGGGCTAGAGTGATCAGGCTCAAGCCATCCAAAGTTAGATCCCAATTTCTGGTCCCCAACCGACCCAGATTTCCCCAGGGGTTGTAGACAAGAAGAACAAGTGTTTATCTTTTCTTGTGGCTCAAGACTCCTTCCTTGGTTCGCTTGAAGAAACCGCGATTTTCGTGAAAACTTGGAGCTTTGCCCCTAGACTCAGCCCATGCTTGGTAGTAGATACCAATAGAGAAGAGCGGACAATTCTCCTTCACATGTCCAATTGAAAGGGGGCTGGACCGGGGATCTGATATGGAATGGCCTAACTATCCGCACCGAACTGATGAGGGCTGAATGCTGGTAAAGAGAGCCAGATAGTGCAACCAACGACCATTTCAAGAAGAGCGACATACAAGTAAAGGCTCTAGGTGTCGGCAGCCTCGCCTGGTTGCTTTTATACCACATCCGCATGTAATTTGGGAATGCTTGGATGTTGAGTGTCACAGCTCACAAAAGTACGCCTACTTCGGTGGTGATGCTGCTGAGGGATCCCTGATGACCTACCCCTTTCAAAAGGACCTAATAACCTCTGGAAACAAGCAAAATGTGAGAAGCATTCTGACACCTCGATTCATCCGAGACAGCATTGGGCGCGCTTCTTACCTGATCTCCCATGTTTCGCAGAACCGGGCGCCAAACGTAGCGCTGGCGGGGCCAAATTAAGCAAGAAGCTCTCTCATTGATAACATTGTCATTATAGTGCCAATTCGAGGCAATTCACTCTGCTGTTTGCTCGAGTCTTCTCAAGGCGCAAGTGGACAGCAGCTGGCCGCTTGCCTTCATCCTGTACACGGTTTTTCTTCAATGAAGCAGGACTCTGGCGCTGTCCTCTAATTGTTCCAGGAGTGCAGAAGTAGAGGCTGGCAGATTTTGGAAGATTAAGACTTAGGGTTTCACTTTTACTGTCAAACGGTGACAAGTTCTGAATCTTGGCTGGCTGCAGAGTCTGTCTGATCTTCATTGCTTGCATTAAATGCTCCAAACTTCGAGAGCGTAGGTAAAAATACCCTTAGCCGATACTGCTTACAGGCCAAAATAGCGCTGCCTTTGGGAACTTCTTGGCCTCCTTGTCTGTGACCGGAGGACCATACGCCGACAACCCAGGATGCAGCTGCGTGCCGCCACTGCCAATGCAATGGGAAACCAAGTGCTGCTCACATTGTCATAAAGTTTCGAAGGTGGTGCCCTGCCACAAGTTTCAGAGGCGGTTTCTTTCCTTAGTCATGTCTTTCCCAGCTGCGCCTGTTTCAGGCTCAGTTCCCTGACCTGCGCTTTCTACTCTGCTCTGCTCTGATTCTTGTGATTGTGACCTATTGGCATTCTGAGTCGTTGAACCCAGTCAGCAAACGAGCAGCGAACAACGTGCTGCCGCCGCTTTCCATCTCCACAGTGCGAAAGCAAGAGCAAAGATCATGGCCAGCTATGCAAATCCGAGTGGGAATGAGCTGCAGGAAGAAGGCGGTGCGGCTTGCCGTCTTGGCGCAACTGAGGGCCACCAGCTGAGCCCCTCAACGACAAGGTGAGACATTTGAGAAGGGTTTGGAATAGGTTCAATGGACAGAATTTGGCTGCCCCATTTTCTGCCACCAGTATGGTGTACTGGCTTTTTCCCTTCTTGGCATGGAGAAGCAAAGATAATAAATGCGGCAGTCCCCAGGTTATTCGCCCCGATTCTTCTGTGGCAACAAATGTGGTGACATCAGTCGTCAGCTGTACAATTGGTGGAGCAAAGAAGCTGCAAAGGCGCCTTTGAGAAAGTGTCTTTGGCAGGAGCTGCCTGCTTTTTCTAACCCTTGCTAAAAAGTCACCTCGTGTCAGTTTATGCTGGATAAGCGCACAATGCTGGACTGAGACAGAATGTGCTACACTTGGCCGAACCGAAGGGAAAGATTGAAGGGAAGAATGACGGGAAAGGATGAATTGCTGAGGAAAGCGGTTGGGGAGGGCAAAGGCTTATGGAAACTTTCGAGGTCACTCTTTTACAGTCTCCAAGAACGCTGTCTTTTACGAACTCCAGTCCCCTTTTGATACCACACTTCCCACTCCAGGTGTCGACCAGACACTTGTGCTTTGACGTCCAGGTCTTTAGCAAGGCTTCCGCTCTGCCTCAACCTTCCCCAATTGCTACCTGTCCCTGTCGATGGGCTCGTTTTTGGCCGGGCAAAAGAGGGCAAAGTGCGTCAAGTGCCTATACTGTAAGGCCCCCAGTGGAATGCAGCAGGCAGCTTTAACATTTTGCCGCACACGTTTAGTGTGAGCCACAGCACTGAGTGGTCTTTTCGGAAAGCGTTGCCTTCTTCTTAGTTCTGGCTAGGAGTTCAGCATCTGGGTTGGGCCAGAGGGAGCTGCCTGATGCAGCTAAGGAACCTATCTTCTTTCGCACCTGAAAAGCTGTGCGCACTCACTTTGTGCGGAAGCACATCGATCATCTCCACATCTCTGGTGCAACTTTATTGCAGAACAGGCGAACGGAAATGACGGATCAGGGCAAACTAGTCGAAGTTTAGGCCTGTGTTTTCTAGAAGAGCAATTAGCTCATTAGACTTCCCACCTTTCCGTCTCGCTCCAAGCAACACACCTCAGGGAACACCTCAGGGACAAAAGTCGCAAAGGTGACAAATGATATAAGCCCTTAAACGAGCCAGTATAAGCAGGCTTTCTTTGTCCACACTCCAGCTTTCTCTGGCAACAACAGCGTTGAGCCGTCATACGGCAAGAAAAGTGAGACTCAGTACAAGAGAAGAGAAAGAGGTTTGACGTTGAGGCCCTTTGGCTTACAGGTGGTGGCAATGAGCTCTACGATTGAAGGGATCCCCCTCGCTCGACCGACTTGCTCGAGAACAGAGCTGACGAGGTAGGTGCAGTCTGTCCCCTGATTATGATACTCAAGCCTTTACCAGGTTAACCACTTGGTTTCCGTTAACCACGTGGTTTGAGGCACAAAAAGGCGGCAGCCTTTAGAGTAGTTGTTGGCTGCTAACCAGGCTGATCATCCGACCTGATTCTTAGGTTAACTAGCAAGAAACCCGGTCTTACGCTTGGTTTGTGGCTGGATACCGCCCAAGTCTGATTGTTGGACACGTAACTACTTTGCAAGTAGCCCGTAACGAGCTCAAGGTTGACCATGGTTAAGGCCAAGAAACTGTTGTGGGATTGCCGTAAGTGATTGATTTGTTGGCGCAGAGAGCTCAGGACGTGGACAAAGAAAGTACATACTCTCACCAGTAGAAGAAGCGAACCAGGTACCAAGCGTTGCAAGCACTTTTTAGACAGCTCAGTTTGCACACATTCTGCCAGGTCGACCTCCCCTTTCCTGAGAACTTCTACATTAGAAACTTTCTTTGGCCACACACATTTTTTGGCTCTAATGCTTCCTTACTGACAAACTCCCGCGCTCTGTCTGCCAGGTTGATCCCGCACATATCGTGCAGCGCTTGCACAAAGCCCTCGGCGCTCCCCTCCCCCAAACAGAACTTTCTCGACGCTTGTAGCGGTCAGGAGACGGCGGCGGCGGGGCGCGGATGAGCAGGGCGATGTACCCCCCTCAAACGAGCATTTCGGCTTGAGGGGCTTTTTCCGCAAGACCCCTGGCGTTTCCACTCCCAAAACAGAATCTCTTGACGCCTTTAGCGGCCAGAAGACGGGAGGGCGGGCGGATGAGGAGGGCGTTGTGCCCCCTCTCAACGAGCATTGCCGCTTGGGGGGGCTATTCCGCTCCATGGGCGGAAACGGAACAGCGCCGCGGCGCCCAAAGCAGTGGTCAGCAGTTGACAAGATGACGCACGTGCACAAGAGCGGGGAGCTGATCCGCAAGTGAACACCCGGTGACGTCACCATCTGCTTCAGGTGAGTGCGCGCGCAGATTCGTCCGTAGGCGCGTAAGGGAATTGAAATGGCGCCAACGGCACTTGGGAATCGCACGGGTAGTATTTCTGTAACGGGGTGGTTATTGCTGGGCTCTTGATCTGCGAGTCACCGGTTTCCTCCTGCTTCGGGCTCTCTGCCGCCACATGAAGCGGACCGCCAGAAGTGTGATGATCGATTCTGGTAGCCTGGCGGCAACGAATCAACTCCTTTCCCTATGACCTGCAATGTTTCTTAGCAGCCATCCTTCTAGAATCCCCACCAGTCGCTGTTTGTATCATCAGCATAAATGGTTTGCTATTGGGACAACCCCTTTTTGTAAGGACCCTCATTGGGCTGACATCTGCCTCTGTAGCGATTTGGCACACCGCATGACGGAACAATGCTTTCAAACTGTGTACCCCAACTTTTGATTGGACTTCTACCTTACTACATCATCTGTTAGACTTGGCAAGTGGCTGCTTCCGGTAGCATTCGCGCCTGCCTCCCCGGAGTAGATTTTTGACAATCCCATTCCCTTCAGCACCTCCGTGTCTGATTTTCGTTTGCGGTATGGGATTCTCATCTCCCCACTTTTCATGTGAGCGTCTTCCAGTATGAATGCGTATCGTCCCAGCCCTTTCCGTCCTGCTAGGTAGTGCCGTTGTCCTACTTACGGCATGAGCTGGGCAAACCCGTGCACACCTAGTGTTCGGTGACAACTTGCAAGCCTTGTCTCTGTTCATCCGTTCCGGTCCAGTGCGTTCCGTCCTGACCTCTCTGTTCCGCAGTTTTTGTACTGCAGATATGGCATGAGCGGAACGATCTCGTGAACCTCCTTTTCCGGCGACGGCTTGTAAGCCTCTAATCTGTTCATCCGTTCCGTCCTGGTGCGTTCCGTCCTAGTGCATCCTGTCCTGAGCACTTTATTCTACCCTTTTCCCACTCCAGGAACGGCATGAGCTGGACAAAACCTTCCACATCGGGTTTGCAGCGTGTAAGCCTCTTTTGGTTGATCCGTGCTGTCCCAGCGCGTTCCGTCCTGAGCTCGCTGTTCCCCCTTTTTGGTACTGCAGATATCGCATGAGCGGAACGAAGCAGTCCACCTCCTTTTTTGGCGACCACCGCGTGCTGGTGAAGGTGGAGTGGTCGCCGCCCTACTCCGGCGTGGTCACCGTCAGCGACTGGGGCGGCGAGATGGTCACGGAGACGGAGCTTCAATCAGCAAAAGTAAGCCTTAGCAAAAGTAAGCTGACCGGCCTAGGACGGGTGGGGTTAGTTTGGGGATTTTGGGTGGGTACGAGTGCAAAGCAGCTGATTTTGTGATTCAGACTTTCACTGTTATTGTCGGCGCTTACTTTTGCTAAAGGTTACTTTGCTAGTTTGAAGAGACATGTCACGGAGGATGCACGCTGGTGATGTCAAACAGCCGGCTGATTCGTAGGTGTGTCGCAAAGTCGCTGTCATGCTTCTCGGACTTGAAGCTCAGCTTTGGAACCTGCGAAGTGAATGTCCCAAGTGCAAGGTTGTTCGAAGAAATTGTAAGGGAAAGGTCTTGCGTAGATTGTGAGAAGTGAAGATTCTTGAAGCAGTTGAAACCGAAAAAGGGTTACCTGTTTGAGGACCAGACTCTAGCGGTCCACAGATGGCGGGTTGACTCGCAAAAGCTTTCTACCGCCCTTACTCAGAGAGTCTCCGTGCCAGGATTAAGCTAGAACAAAATGGCAAAGCACGCAAACTCACTAGCTGAAAGCCTCGCTCGCCCCTGGTCTGAGGAGTTTGAGTAAGTTTGTTGAAGCGCCTCTGGCCTCAATTGTGCGGAACAGGAGAAGCAAACTAGTGGTCGGGAACAGTCCGCGGGCGCACGGATTGGTGATGCCGGCTCTTGGTTCGACTTAAGAAGTTTTGGCTGCTAACTAGGCTGATTACCAGAGCAAAAACTTGGATTATTGGACAGACAACCGGGCTTACCCTTGTTTCGAAGCTGGTTATTTCCCAAGTCTGGTCACATAACTACTTCCTAACCAGCCCATAAGCAGCTCATACGATTCATGTTCATTGCCTCTGAATCGATCCGCTGCCACGTTAGCAGCTGTGGGAGATCCTGTGCGGGGCACAACGCAAGAGTTGCCATTACTGACAGTTGATGTGGCGTTTGCAGAACCTGCCACGTCATTGAGCGAAGCCAACGGTGAGGAAGGCAGGCGGGACGTGACTGCGCTTTCTACCAATTTCACGGCAGCCTGTTCTGGAACCGAACCCGGGTGCTGCTAACCCACAACAAGGCGCTGCTGAAAGCGAGCGGGCCGACTCCCGACTGGCAATACACCTGCGCCCATGACGGCGGTCATTACGTGAGCGATCGCCAAGCTGATTACAGCCGTAAGCAAATGACGTGGTCTTTCCTTGGTTGTCCTTCTTTCAACTTTCAAATTGCAGTCAGGCGCACACGTTCCTCGATATGAAAGCGAATTTTCGAGACCTTCTCAAAGGGCACGAGGGAAGCTTGCTGCATTTGTCAGCATCATCAGGGGGGGGGATTAGAATTGACTTCTGCTATCACGTTTTTGCCGTTTTATTTTGGGCACCAACAAACCAGCTTATGATGCTTGCAGTTTCATATCTGATCATACTGTCTCAGTATTCGCGACAGTCACTAGGCACGCTCACTGCCCAGCCAAGAAATATTTAAACCGATAAGTTCCATGTGACCTAACGGGCGTGTGACCCAAGTTACGAGCTACCCGGGCCCTTAGACCGAAAATCCTAACCCAAACATCTATCCGCTCCGCACCCGAACCCACCCTAACCATCCAACTAACTCAACTTATCTCTCCCCGGGTACCTATCTTAAGTGACAAGCATTTAAAGTCAAACGAAAGTTATCGGCGAGAAACTGGCTGCGTCAATCGCCAACGTCAGCCCCACCAACCCGCCCCTCTGAACCGTGCGATGGGTTCCGCATGGATCGCTCTCTGCCAATGCTCATCGTCTTCGGGCGACGTCCCTAGGAGCTTGTGTTGCCGCCTGCGCCATATCTCTTTTGACACACTGAAAGGTTGCAGCCCGAGAACACGTCCTAGTGTCAAGGAACTGAGAGCGTGCGTACTGACTGGCAATCGGGGGACGATGACCAGCATGGATTCGAAGCCACTGAAGGACTCGGATACAAGCCCCGTCTGTGGGGACGTTTGTGAGGAAACTTTGAATGGACCGGCCTAAGAGCTGTCAACACGTGCAGCTTCCATGTTGCCAAAACGAAACCGCAGGTGTTGGCAGCCCTAATTTCTGTTAGAAAAAGAGGGCATTGTTGCCCCACTTTGAGTGACTTTTGTCCAATAAAAGAGTCTCTGCTTTTCCTGTCTGTACCAATAGCAAATGTAACACCTGGTAACCACAATCAATGAGCCGGACTGAGAAGTTTGATTCGTCTTGCAGGTTGGACCAGCTTTATCTTCTGGAGCCCAGCGATTGCAGCAACACGTCACCCTTGTGCCTATCGTGCAGCGCGTTGACAGCAGCCGTGAAGAACAGAAGCAAGCGCTGAACCATCAAAGAGGAGGTCTTCTTTGACGTAAGCGCTCCCTCATTTAGCCATCATCTTAGCTTGGGGCCAGAGGGGGCAGCTGTGATTGGTCTACATAAGCAGTCGCCCCACAAACCCCATTCCAGGACTCAGCAGCGTCTCTTGCAGCTCGCTCCTTGTGCGCAGGCTCGTCGACAATCGCATGCGAAACGGATTCTGTCCTGTCGTCATTGACTTCTGAAAGACCAGCGTCGCCTTTAACAATGGTTGGAGCAAATCGCTTGTGGCCGCCGTGAATTGGCAAAAAACACTCGGGTTCAAATTTAGAATCTTCATTCTCGGGTCTCACTTTAGGGCTGTGTTTAGATGTACCCCAGGACAGCTCAATCCTCCGCATCACAGAGGTTTCGCCCCTAACATGCATGAGTAAGTTAAGTGGTGTTTCAGCGCAACCAGCTAGTCTGGTAGAATGGCATCTAAGTCAAACTTAGCCAGGCTTGGTTGGGTGTGGTTGTGCCCTGTCTTTTGCTTGATATCCTTAGCGCTTGCTTTTACTAGGCATTGTGTGTAGGCCGCGACAGGTGTTTAAATATGCTCTTCTTCTGGTTCCACGCTACTTGTTGTCTCGAGGATCGGAGCTGATCGAGCTCATCGACCTAGCGAATTTCGTCTGATCAACCTAGCCTTTTACATCTGGACCGCCGACGGATTTGCGGCGCTTGTCCGTTTCCTTTTGGACCTTCTTCTGATTCCGCTTTTCTTGGCACTTCCGCAGCCGACGCCCGCCAACTTGGTGCCAACCGAGGCCAACTCCGAGTCTCGCCAGTCAGCGCCCAAGTCGCTCGGGAAAGCAAGGCCGTACTAGCCGCCAACATGGTCGCCAAGCAGGCGCTCCGAATCAGGATAGCATGCTGTCCGGTCCAAAACGAGAAGATAGTAGTCCCCAAGTAGCCTTGATTTGTGGAACCTACTGTGAAAGCTTCTGGCAAGCACGCATACCGTTTTCACCAAATATCCGGCCCCATCAGTGTGAGTGTGAGTGTGTGTGAGTGTGAGTGTGAGTATGTGAGTTGTGAGTATCAGCTCCGAGCTGAAGTACCACTGAGGCTTTGTCTGCAATCTTGGTAGAATCATTGTACGGAATCTGCATGGACTACACGCGTACATGTCTACATAAAGTACTGTATGCACAAAAGATTGCCAGGACTGTCGCCGGTATACATGCTTCAAAATACGGTTATTATGTCACTCCACGAACGGTACCGTCTCTTTTGATCGAGTACGTCAACCAAACGGTCGCTCTATATGAGAAACACACGCGTAGAACCCACGCATGACCGGACGAACACCGGGCCGTATAGTACATGGATTGGCAAGCAGCCGCCGTCAATCCAGCTACCTGAGATTACTGTAGTGCCGGCGGCCGCGCCTAATTTGCCAGATCGATGCTTGTTGCCGAATACATTATTTGTTCAACGTTTATATCTAGCTAGCTGGTGTTACCAGTGATGCATCTGCATATTTGTACGTTTGGATCGAATGATCCGGTGGCCAGGTGCATGCATGTGTCCAGTCATTCAATGATTCCAACGTGCGCGCTTTGCAACGGCCGGTCGTTTTCATGTCATGAGCTGCCCGGGGCGCGCGCTATAAGATCCGGCCACCGGCCCAGCCTGAGGCGCCAGATGATGCAAGTTTCATGGTGTATGGAGCCGGATCAATCATTTGTTACGATTCCGAATGATTGACCGGTCACGCATGATACTGGCCCTCACCGCAACTGACACGGGGTACAACTTCCGACGAGATCCCACTAGGTGGATCCGGGCGCCCGCGAATTAGAATATGCCTTCCTTGAAAGTTGTTGGCCCATGGCCCTCAGAAAGAAGAACGTATCATGGCTACTGTGCTAGGCTAACCCGGCTTTGCTGAACAATCGGTTCGATGAGTGTTCAAATCCAGGCCGCAGGCGAGCTCCGACCACCTAGTCCATCTCCACTGCTACGACAACCCTACTAGAACAGGGGCCGCTGCTATGCACTGCATGTCGACACCCGACCGTCAAGCTGAAGACCGAAGACCTTCCGACCTCAGTCACTTTAGAAAGGTGGTTAGTGAACAACGGTTCGATTGAACGATAACTCATAACGGTTGCATGATCGACTAGAAGAGCAGTCTATCAGTGTAGCCGCGTGCAGCAGTAGGAGATGATATGGAGTAGGTAGCTAGCTCGTCGAAATAAACGCCCGAACTCATCGAACAAATTGTTCAGCGTTCCAGGTCCATGGCTTAACCGCTACGGCCTTATAAAAGAAGTATGTATGTATGTGTGTATGCTTCATCTCCCGGTGAACACGGTACGAACGGTATTTGAGTCCACGCTTAGATCAGAAACAAATGGATGATTGCTAGTACGTGAGTCAAGTCCCTGCAAGCTGTAAGCTAAGCATAGACCTATTAATTGGTGAATCCAGAGAATTTAAAGCTCAAAACACTCTGGCGCGACCAAGGTGCATAGCAACGCTGGAAATTTTACTGTACTTTCAGAGCCTTCACAATCTCCCAAGTAAAGTCCGGGTCCTCGCGCCCAAAGTGCCCGTACGCTGCGGTCTTTTGATAACGCCTGTTGCCACCCCGCTTCAGGTCGAGATTGATGGCAATCATGCCAGGCCTAAAGTCAAAGCTTTGCTTGACTGCTTCAAGGATTTTGGAGTCGGGGTAATTTCCAGTGCCGTATGTGTCGACGAAGACCGACAGAGGCTCGGGAACGCCGATGGCATACGAAACCTGGAAGAGAAGAACAGGGTGACGGATGAAGCTCTGCAGTTCGCAAAGCCCAGATGGGCACATCAAACGCTGAAAAATGGAGGTCTAGGGCCTTCATAAAGTAAATGAGACTTGGCACGTGACAGCAGACATATTCAAGCCGCTCAATCCTGCTTGGCGCACGCCTTATGCAAACGGCTTCGACTGGCGAGAAGGACCGTTTCGAGAGTTGCAAATATTTTCATTAAAGGCGTGTTTCTTGCTACAGCTGATACGGTCGTTCGGCTCTCAATGAGAAAAAGTACAATCAAAAGGGAAAGTGATTGAATCAGGTACTTCCGTTCATGGAATTTTCAAAAGACGGTGTGCAAGGTGAGCAAGCTAGATGTGTCTTTTGCATGGCCGCTGCTTTTGGCCGGACCAAAAGGAGCACTCGAAAGATCGACCTGGGAAAAGCCATTACGCAAGGCTTTTAGACGGTATGGCCAGACCAATGCTACAGTGGTTGCGGAACAATGTTAACACCAGTCCTTTGGCAAGTCGAGCTAGATCGAACTCCAGATACAGCTAGCGAGTGCAGTCAAATGTGTGGGAAAGCCATGCTCAAGTAGAGCTGCGCGCCTTCGCACGCTCTGTGCATGGAAGCTGCTTATGCGCGCAAACTGAGGGTATCGTTTGCTTTTCATAGTCAATCGCGCTGAGTTAAACCTGATCGCTGAGCAACGTTTTCTTGCCAGCATGCGCTTCGAGTACTTGTTTCTGTCTGAAGTACTGGCAAGGCAAGCTAGCCCAGCGCACTCGGAGAAGAGCGCAGTCCATGCTCCGCGCCTACGGCTCTCCTCCACACAATAAATTTGGGAGAATGAATTTGAAGCTACAACCCTGGGCCTCGCAAAGTAGAGAGAAACGGATAACGCATCTGTTCCTGTGATCGCTGCAGAAGCTTACCTGAACGAGAGCCCTTCGAGCCAGACCGGAAGCAACGATGCTCTTGGCCGCCTGTCGGACGATATATGCACCGGACCTATCAACCTGCAACGTTGGAAAGAAGTCCAATTCACAACGTAAACCCAGCTGAATCAAGGGGTGATCAGCAAGGGGCGAAGGTACAGAAAAACGAAGTATTCCCTTGATTAAGTTGCAAAAGGAACCTTAGTCCCGTGCTTGATTGCGGGATTGCGCCTGGCCAATCACCTTTCCTGCCATGGTTTGTAAGACCAGGTCCCAAACCGCTGAGACGCAACGATCAGGCAGGTCCATAATGGGAAGACGGGTGTATTCTTGATTTCAAAGGTCCAAACCGGCCATGCAAACTCCCTTGGTTTTTATTACACGCCATTGATGCCCCCTTTTCGATTCAGTCGCTCATTCAAGGCCAGAGCTCAGTGCACAGAGGAACTTCGAGAGCTGCTCTTCAGCATTAGACTCTTCTCGATTTGCTTTTCTGTCAGTCATTAGCGCACCTTTGTGGGATCCTTTCCGGAGAAGGCACCGCCCCCGTGCGCCCCCCAGCCTCCGTAGGTATCGATGATGATCTTCCGGCCGGTCAAGCCAGCATCCCCGTGGGGCCCTCCAATGACAAAACGGCCAGAAGGGTTGAGGTGGAAGATAGTCCGATCGTCCAGGTACTTAGCAGGAATCACGGGCTTGATTACGTGCCTGCAACGAGAAGCACGGCTGGGTCAGAAGCGAGGTCAGCGCTTGGCAGCAATCTGGTTAGTGGAAAAGTCAGGAATGGAATTGGCGGTGAAATAAGGTCTGGATCAATGGGACGGGGTAAGTTGTTGAGCGGTACGTGCGAAGAAAATGTGCAAATCAGGGCCGCGTAATCTGTTTCGCTCCTGCCTTGACATCACCGCTGAAGGAGGACCACAGACAAATACCATACCGCTCAGCTGTCTCTCGTAACTCGGTATCGACTCCGGATATTCCGTCTCAAACAGCGGAATGAAGTTGTCTGCTTTGTCTGTGACAAGGCCCCCAGCTTTGCCGATCGAAGGGACTTGATTATGTCGCAGACAAGAGTCCTACTGCTTAAAATCCTGCCAGGCATCTGACGGCATGTGCAATGCTTGCGAGTTCCTTGGAAAGCTCATGCAGGCGCTGGCTCGAAGACGTCTGCAAGATCCCTGCAATGATAAGGCTCTCAACCGTCAATTTTGAGAACAGAGACCTGGAAGCCTGAGCTCCTACAAGAGTTTGTAAGAAACTTCTGTGCAAGTTACGCCGAGCCAATTTGATACGAGGGAAGGGATGTTCCAGTCCGGAAAGGCGCTCTAATGCCTGTTATATTTGACATAGCTTAAAAAGACCGTGACGACAAGAAAAGGACAGCTCCTCGCCTATTATATTTGACATAGCTAAAAAGACCGTGACGACAAGAAAAGGACAGCTCCTCGCCTACTCGATTCGTTGTATGGAATTTTTGGTCCCATGTCTGTCCGCACACGGATAAATGTTGATCTAGTACGAAGCAAAGGATCTGAGAAAATTCCTGTCCCTAGCACCTCTAAACCCTTCGCAAATGTTCTTCAACCGAACATACAAAAAACCCGCTGACAGCACAAGCGGACCAACCCCCTACGTTGCTGCTACCTCCAGCGTCAGGCTGTCAGCTTGAATCACTACATATCTGGTTCCAAGAGGAAAGCCAAATCGAGGTTTTCAGCAAAGGCTCACTCTTGAAGTTCAGCCGCGATCTGGTCGTTGGTGACTGTCTCATCGTGCTGAGTGGAGATGAGAACGGTGTGAACACGCAGAGGAACAGTCGCCCCGTTTTCAATCTTGTACTCAACCGTGACCTGCGTTTTCCCGTCCGGTCTTAACCATTTACAGACGCCGTTCTTTCTAACCTGCAGAGTCGAGGGTATCATTAAATCATTACTGAACACTCAGTTGATTCCGAGCTAGGCCGCTCTCACCAAGGGAACGACGCAGAAACGCCGGATCTGCTTGCTGCTTCAAGGGCAGCGAGATAGCTCGCCGTCGTAATCCGAACAAAAGATTGGGTACGTTCCAAGATACGGAATCGGAAAGGTGATCGGTTGTTGTGCAGGATACACAAAATGCTAAAGACAATGAAGGAGAAAGCTATGATCGCTCTGCGTCTACTTATCCGGAGCCAACAAGCAGCCGGCCGGAATCTGATCGAAAACGGCGTAGTGTCATGCCTCAAAGAGCGGTCCCTGAGGAGCGGTCAGCCTTGATTGTTTGAGTCGGGAAACCAAGTCGTTGTTGCAGCTAAGTATCTGTTCCGAGGCACAAAGTTTACAACGGCTCTATCAGAAGAAAAGCACCTGAATACAGCCCCAATCCTGCCTTACCTCCGTCAACTTGGCTCCCAGCTTGGTGGCAAGCACGTGCGTGAGTGGCATCAGCTCTTGAGTCTCGTCTGTGGCATAACCGAACATGTGGCCCTGGTCTCCGGCCCCGATGTCTTCTGGTCTCTTCGCATTCACACCTTGCGCAATGTCAGGGCTCTGCTCTTCTATGTTCATAAGGACCTGCGAAAAGAGGGGCGAAGTTTGCTTCTGCCGTTCGCGTGATGTCTGGAGTGTGCTTCAACCTAGGTACTTCTGTGTACCCAGATTCGGCAAGGATCAAAGAGAGTCACAGTCTATGACTATTTCTTCCTGTATGCTAAACCGATTGCGAAGAACATGGTTGTTGACCAATGCAGCTCAAAAGACCCGAGCCTGCTCTAGACAGGCTCACTTCGATCTTACACAATTTCGAACATACACGACCTCAGAGGAAAGTGTGTCAGAACGACTTCGCAGAGGTGCAACTCGGTCGATAAGGTATATTTTGGACCACAGCAAGAGTAGAGAGGCAGAAAGGAGTAGTGAGGAGTGTAGCTAAAAGGTGCATGCATGTCAAGTGTCTTTCTGGTGAATAGGAGATTTTGAATATATATTGTTAACTCTGCCAGGGATTTTAGTTGGACAGGTTCGAGGGGCATGAGCCCTGTACGATGTAAGACATTGTAACAATATCTGCCAATCTGATGAAGTAGCTTCTCAAAGAAGTGGTCCAGAATGCACTGACTCTTACTAGCTCAGAGACCAAAGCTTGGGAGTCGACGAACGAGAAACATTACACTTTGATGCACCATATGCAAGTCATGCTCGAAAAGTAAAAGACTGGATAAGGAAGGTGGATAAAAGCCTGACCTTACAATGAGCACCATCAAGCCCAACTTCAGAGGAAGTAAAGCCGATCTCCTGCACTGTATCTCGAACAATCTTCTCATAGTCGACCTTGGCCTTGGTAGTTATCTCACCAAAGACCATAACCATGTCAGTCTTGGTGCAGGTTTCACAGGCCACCCTGCTGTCCGGGTCCTGTATAGAGACAAGGATGTAGTCATTGAAGGGAGCCTTGGGAATCCAGATGACCCGGCACGGCCTGAATCAGGTTGGGTCGTGGAACCACAGCTAAACAGCAGCTTCGTCATACCCAAGAGTCTCACTATCTGCCTAAACCAAACACCATGCGGAGCTACCAGAATCTAAACACGACTCATCATTCATGCTCACGATCATCAACGAGCAAGCCAGCAGCGTTGTCTTACGATTCAGTATTTGCATGACTTTACTTTTATGGTAGGGGTGCTTGGGTCCATACTTTAGAGCATAAAAGGTTACCTGTGCCAGGCATGCATCCAGCACTGCATCGGACACTTGATCACACAGCTTGTCTGGATGGCCTTCGTTAACCGACTCAGATGTGAAGAGGAAGGTCTCCTTGGCCATTGTGGCTACTGCAGACAACAAAGCACATGTCTGCGAAGGTACATATTGAAGGGCCTAGCTTTCCTGACGTAGGTCTGGCTTACAGTAACGCAGTCATGAGCACACGATAACAGGTACCATTTTGATGAGCGCAAGGTCTTGAAGCAACCGATGAGATAACAGCACTTTAGTCCACTTTTCAAACAGCCAATCGAAAGGCCTGTGGGATGACTAGGCCAGGGGTGCACGCGCATTGACAGCATTTTGAGGTTGAGCCAATCATGGAGGAAAATTTTTCAGCAGCTCAGATTTTAGCAGTCTGAGCTGTAATCTATGAAGTCCTTGGCAAGAAGGCATCAATTGCTGGATGTTTGGCCTTCTGCAAAGATTTCAAGATCAGCCTTCCACAATTTGCAGGACTGTGACAAAAGCTCGCGCCAAAAACGAAACCCAGTCAGCATTATACCGCCTAAAACTTCCAATCTTTATCGCACCCCACTTTGTGCAAGCATGCTTCAGATATTTGTGCACCGCTTTTATGAATATGCAAAGCGGCACAAATGCAAAACCATCCGCATGATTGCTGAGACAGCGAGTATGTCTTACCTGCTTCCTGAGCACCTTTTGCGGAGCAATCGGAGAGGAGAATGTTGGAATGGCACTGTCCACTTGGTTTGGGCAAGGTCTGTTGACTTTCAAGTGGTTCATTGAGGTCACGACCAGCTCATGTCCCTCATGACCAGAGATTCATTTGTAGCTATAGCTGTCTGCACTGTTGAGCTCACTTCTCTTCTTTCTGCGGTGGTAAGAGCAGAAGCGGCGTAGAATCGTATTGAGCTTGGTAGTGCGCAAGGGACGGTCTGCAACTGCGCTCCCTGGAACCAGTGCTGCGAACATCTTCATCATCATGGCGGCTATTCCTGACATTGAGGCTCAGGTTTCCCAATGGCAATGTAGATTGCCTTGGAAGCGCCGGCTTTCTGCAGCTACCTATTTCGCATGTACCGGTACATATCAATCTAGAGCGCGGGCTACTTGTAAACGGTCACGGTTGTAGTCCCTAGTCTTGCCGCGGTTGGGCGCGCCCCACGTGAAGTCAGCCGGCTAGAGCCGGGGATCTGTGCCGGTTCCTCTTAGAGATGTTAGTTTCAGGGAGCTCCAAATTGTAAATAGACAGTACTTTTCTATTCAGAACTTGACATCAACCGAACCGGTATGACGGGTCTTGATACCTGGACGCGCGCGTGCGGATCCTCATGTTAATCTGTTTGCTCACTTGAAGTTGAACTTGCAGTGGTTGTTGTGCTCATCTCACTCTTGAAACTGTTTCTAGCTGAGCAGACAGAAATCATCTTCCTTAAGTCCCACACTGCACTGATGTCATTAATGTCAGTGACAGGGATCCTAAACTTGAAATGTTCTGAGCGACACCGCCAGCTTTGCCACTGAACACAGTAAGCCGGTGATACTGTGGGCGACTGCAGTCTGCAATGCACCACCAGATCGAGAGATTTGTTTGGACACTTGTGACTTGCGGTGGATATCTCCTGGCCAACCAACAGGTGGCCGAGCTGGAGCTGTTCTTGTCTGATTAAAGAGCAATGATTGTTTTTGGGAGCTCGTTCTCCCAGTTTAAAACCCAACCTAGTATCCTGCTCAGGCTTCGCGTCTTCGCCGGTGCTTAGTGGCCAGCTCGACCTGTTCCTAGCCCGCTTCAGCTCCCGTCTTTGGAGTGTCTGGAATATTAGAAAGATAAAGGACGTCATGTTTCAACGGCGCTAGAACGGCGAGCTTGGATCAGCACAGCTTTCATCATGGAAAACTTCTACTACATTGTGTTTGGGGCTCTGGCGGCAATCTGCGGTGTCTCAGAGTTGTCAAAAGGGCAGAAGGACACGTTTGTCACGATCCCCAGCTTTGAAGCTTTCAAGAACAACTACCTTCTTGTATACAGCCTGATGATGGGTAAGTGCCTCTTCAAGCTACTAGCTACATACTTCACCGGCAATAACAACTGCTCTGGCTGCTCAGCTCAGCTTGGTTAGTTGCCATTCTTATTGGCGAATGTCCTGAGTCTTCTCGGCATTATGTCGCATCATCAACCGTGAGCATAGCTCGCACTATCTGTGTGTCTGGGTCCTCTTTGCACTTTGCTGGTACGAACAGACCCTGCAAAGACGCTTGCAGTTCTTTCTTGCAAGTTTTGGCACCATGCTCTGCAGCTCTAGCCGAAGTTCGTCTAGATGGCCTTCGCAGAAAAGTCTGAGAGCTCATCTGCGAGCAACAAACTCAATGCAATTGCTCCAATTTTACCGACTGACTTCCATTCTGGCCACCTTTGATTCCACAAAAGGCTTACATGGGTGGTTATATGGACCAGAGGGGTGGTATATGTGGACCAGAGGGGTTGGAGGCCTGAGCGGTTTTTGGTGAAAGGGGAACCTTACTTGAATTTTCATGCGTGCAGCTGGCGACTGGCTACAGGGCCCTTACGTCTATGCATTATATCAGCACTATGGATACGACCAGGGGGATATTGGACGGCTCTTCATTGCAGGGTTTGGATCGTCGATGGTATTCGGAACAATTGTGGGGTCCTTGGCAGACAAGCAGTGAGTCTCCGCATCTCTGGCCCCATTCAAAAAATCTCGTGAATGAACTCAGCAGAGACTTCTGATCAGGTCTCATCTGCATGTTTCCGATAGAGCAAGGTCACAGGTCACGCTTGTCTGTTGAAAGCGTAGGGTCGCTCTTCTTTGTCTTTGGAACCCCCATCGTATGCAAATGAGCTCAAAAAGTGTTTCTTTTCCAAAGCATCAAAAACTGCTGAAACCCTGAGGTATGCCGTCGAGAGCCTCTGTGTCTCCTGCGAACAGTGTCTGGAAGACAAGCTAGCCTCTTCACATTGAAAGTCTTTATGTAAGCTGTGCTCCACTGCTTGCCCAACAGATTCTGTTTTTACCAGAACACGTGCACCGAGATATGAAATTTGTCTCCGTAGTAGGTTGAGTAAGGTGTTCTAGCGGCCATAGTTCGCCTGGAACCGTCGCTCAATTGTTTAAGCAAGCAAACTTTCTTCTGCCCCTCTGCAGCGGTCGGAGGCTCGCAAGCGTCCTCTACTGTGTCTCCTACATACTCAGCTGCTGGACGAAGCACTCCCCAAGGTTCGCATTCCTATTGGTCGGTCGCATCCTGGGGGGAATCGCAACGAGCCTGCTCTTCTCGGCTTTCGAATCATGGTTGGTCGCGGAGCACTTCAAGGTATGTGAAGCTGCACTGGGGCTTTTGCTGGGTCCAGATGCAGGTCAAGATAGATCATGTTCATCTTACAAAGTTTCCAGGCCCACCAGAAGCAATTGTAGGGTTGGTGGACCAGGGTATGCAACCCGGTTTTGTGCTCGTTGGACTGGTGCGCTGAAAGGTTTGCAAAGGAAAAATCTACGTGCGCCAGTCAAAGAAAGTCACATGGCCGTAAGGTATTGTTCCGAAGAGTTGCAAGATCGTTACAAGCCTGCAATCCTCGCCGTCAGCTATATACTTGGTCCGCAATAACAGTGTGGAAGTGTCCCTCCAAACATCTGCTTGGGCCCAGCGCGGCATCTTCTCCCCTGGGTAAAGTCGAGCAGATGCATCCCCAGTCAGCGCCCAAAAAGCTCCAACCGACTCTTTCATTCCGCCGCAGTCTCACCTGCTGTTTCGCAGTAAAGGAAAATCAAATCTGCAGCCTTGAAGGTTACTGGGACAGCTACATGGGCCACCCACGAATCCATGCCTAGTTTGACCAGACTCGCTTCAATCTAGACGCGCTTTGGTTCTCCGCTGCTTTTGAAAGGACCCTCTCGTATCACAAGGGCCGTTGACGGTATTGATGAGCGTTCACCAGCGATCCAATTTTCCTTAGATCGAGATGGGTGAGAACGTAAGCACGGAGGATACTTCCTCGATCTTGTTGCGGACCGTTTCGGACCGCCTAAGGAAGCTGATCCAAGGACTGTCATTGAGGAGAACCACGATCAAGCTTACAAAGGTTCACAATGAAGCCACTTCTCATTGGAAGTGGTTCCGCTTGTTGCGACTGCTAGCTCCCTTCTGATCGACGCCTGTAGTTGCCTAACACTCTCTAAACAATAGACTGCCATGAAGGATCACTTGGAGAATGTCAAGTAACCCGCTGAAGGTGCGAAACGAACGTATCGCTCTTCTCCGCAGCACAATTTTGAGCCCCAGTGGCTGTCCCTCACGTTCTCCAAAGCTATCTTCCTGGGCAATGGACTGGTCGCAATTCTTGCGGGGCTCCTCGCCAACTTCCTAGTTGTGGATCTTAACCTCGGGCCTGTGGCGCCGTTTGACACCGCCGCGTGTTTCCTGGCGATCGGGTGCGGCGTCATTCTGAAGACGTGGCCCGAGAACTACGGGGAGACGGACGAGAAGAAGACGTTGCAGCAGCAGTTCCAGCAGGCGTGGAACTCGATCGTGGCTGGTGAGCTGACGGCTCCGGCTGATCTCCGCCCGCTCTTGCAGTACACTGACTTTATTCCGCGGATTTGCATTATGCCTAAACGGCGGATCTGCGTATATGCTCGTCTTAGGGCGACCGATGTGAACTTTACAAGTGTGCTCCCCCACGTGCTTCTTCTGTAATATTTGCCTTTGAAGCGTGGCAGCACACCGCTTGTTCCGCATCGACGCTTGCAGCGTTAGAAGTGGCTATACACGCACGACTCGGGCGAAGCCTGATGGACGTTCCGTTTTCCCTGCCATAGGAAAACGGAGAACTTGGGAAAGCAGTCGCCCTTTGGGGACGTTCTCATCTTGCGGAAAGACGATGACGTTTTACTTGGCAGCATTAAAGATCTACCGAAATTCGGTTTGCTTCGCGAGAGATGACACTGTCCGTCTTCCCCGCTCCTTCTACCACAACTCCGAATCCCGACACAGCATTACCTTTCCTCTTGCGCGCGTTCCAGAAGTAGCAAGTTCAGGGGCGTTAAAGTCGCTCTTCCAAGGGCCCATCTGATCTCAGCCTTTCTCGAGAGCCCGCGCCTAGTGTCCAACAGTTGCTATTACTGATCCAACCGTGCCACTTTTCCTTGCGCAGATGAGAAGATTGCCCTTCTCGGCGCGATCCAGGCTCTCTTCGAAGGGTCTATGTACACGTTCGTGTTCCTGTGGACGCCCGCTCTCAGCCCAAATGGACAGAACATTCCCCACGGGTTCATCTTCGCCACCTTTATGCTCGCGTCTATGATCGGGAGCAGCATCGCCTCCCGTCTGATGGCCCGGTCGACGCGCGTGGAGTACTACATGCAATACGTCTTTATGGTGTCAAGCGCCGCGCTTCTGGTCCCGGTCTTCAACCAGGTGGATAACTTAACACCATTCTCAGCAGTGTTCTAAAGCGGGACCGGATTAACCCGGAAGCGGCCTCGCTAAATCTGGTACTCGCTCCTTTGAAGGGAGCGGGAAAGACAAGGGAGGTTGGATCTCGATCAATCAGAGGTCACCTAAAAAAAGCACTCCCTGCAAAGCTCCTCCACGATTCGTCTTGGTCAGCACTGTTTGACTAGGTCCAACAACCTGTTCTTTTACAGAAGTGACAAGAATAGGGTTTTGTGGTTTCATAGCAATATGGCATATCGTTTGAACCTGATTTTCGTCTTCGCTTGATTCCGTCTGGAATCAAAGGATGTTTCACTACCAGCGAATTGTCAATCTGGTGTTTCGAGGCTGGATGAACGTAGCCCTCTGACTCCCGGGCAAAAGGACATGCCCAGGAGAGATTTGCAAGCAAATCTGCAGTCCATACGGAAATATCAAAAAGTCGTAAGTTAGAGCTTTGGTTTCGTTTCCATCCCCGCCTTCTGGACAAAAGCGCTGACGCCGATTCCTTCTTTTAGGAGCGATTGAGTGTTCCTGATTTTGTGCGTTCCAAAGTACGTTCCAAAGTACGTTCCAAAGGCGCTATTTTGACGTATTTTCCGGGCTTTAAATACTGATACTTCAAGACTCGTGAATCCATTTAGCTCGTAAGGATACCCGTATCACGTTTCGAGTAAGTATGGATACCGTCATCCTCTCAAAGAAGCTAGCGTCTTTGTGCGCACTAATACATGCGGCATCCCGAGCTTTTCCTCACCCTTTCTGGCCATATTGCTAAGCTCATGTCTTATCATGTGATCTATCCATCTGCAAAGTAGCTTAGTTGCTTTTTTAGCGTCTACTGGGCTAAATAACCCCATTGATTAACCTGGCTCTCATCTTGACCTTGCAGCTTATATACGAGCCCACGGTTACTTCTGGCGGGGGATTGACACCAGGGGGCCGTTTGCAACTGCTGGGCTTCCTGATCTTTGAAGTGTGTGTCGGAATCTTCTGGCCCAGCATCATGAAGTTGCGTTCCCAGTACATTCCCGAGGAGAGCCGGTCGACCATTATGAACATGTTCCGGATTCCGCTCAACGTTTTTGTCTGCCTCGTCCTGTACAACGTAAGGAAGTCCCGCTCACCTTCCCGGTCTTTTTATCTTTTGTGATTTGACTCTCAAAGCAAACGCCGCTCTCCTTCGTCCTTCCCGTTCCGTTTCACATCCCGTCCGCGTTTGCTGTGAGTTCCTCACGAGCATCTCGCCAACGGTTAATCGTCTAGGCTCCTCTAGGCCCGATACTCGCTATCTTTATTCTGCACTGGTTTGTAAATAATCTGGCATGTCACCTTTCAGCTCTCCCTTCCATCCCCTACGCAGCTTTCCTCCTCCTTTTTTATCGTGTTCACGTATGTAGTCCTCGGGGTGGTTTTGGGCATTTAACAGATACTTTTTACACATGCCAGTGCTGATTCTTACAGATCGTTTTCCAAAATTTTCTCAAGTCTGACGGTCCCTTTTCTTCATGCCGTGATCTAGGTGAAAAGCTACACAGGCGTCACTGTTTTTGGAATGTGCGCTGGACTCAACGCCGTTGCGGTAGTCCTATTGGAAAGGCTTAATATCAAAACAACGCCGCCCAAAAAACGGAGCAGCGACTCTTTAGAGCCGGATGATAAGATCGTTGAAGAGTCAATAGATTTACCGATGAAGGCTGCGCTAGAGAAAGATTGAAAGGGTGGCCAGAACCATCAGACGGTCCCCCGTTTGTGGAATTTCTGCGGGTCTTGCTTTGAATTTCAGACAAAAACATCCGAAAGGGCAAGAAATAGGTTCTCGGACTAGGTACTCCTTGCCTTCCACCAAGATTTGCCATTTCTCAGGAAGTTTCGGTTGTGATCGATATTGATAGTATTCCGATCCAACCAAAAGCCCTTCAAGAGCGTTCCTGGTGTATCCTGACAGTAAGCAGCTCTCATCCTTGCTAGGGGCGTGCAAAGTGATGCACAGCCGTCATAGGACCAAATACCGAAGCCTGAATAGTCGTAGTAACCTCGAGTAGGTGCGGTCACTGCCTTTTCGGTTGCGCTTGATTGACGACCGGAACATCAGCTTGACATCGGATGTGGACGTCAGCGGCCCGGCTGGTGACGTCATGGTATCTTTTCTTGCAGGTGAGCTCCTTCTCGCTGACGGCCATGTTCGCCATGTGTTCCGGGTTTCTCGTCATCTGTGCGCTCCTTCAAAAGCGGCTCTCGCATCTATCGGAGCAGCATGAATGTACGGCGCTCAAGACTGCTGAAAGCGGTAGGTTGAATCGTTATGCTGTTTCTCACTTCAGTTCCAAGCTCGCGGGAATCTTCTGTCTCCTTTCTTCTGCCCGAGGCAAGCTTGCCTGATCAGGTCTGGTCTGAAGCCTTGTTATCCGCTACAAGCTGGATGCCTCCTATGCCAGAAGGAAAGACGGTCTAATCTTTGTTTGATGTATGAATTGACTCGGAAGCGCTAAGCGTGTTTCACTTAGTGGGCGCTTCTCTCTTCTGACTCTGATGAGCCCTTGAAAGTGTTGGGTACTCGAAAGTTGGGTCTAGAAAATCGACGGATTCAGATTGGCCCCGCCCGAAGGCACCGCCATTGCACACACGTGTTGCAGTTGCACAAGTTGGTTACCGTCACTTTGCGAAACCGGCGGGCCGCAAGGAGGATTTCTCGGGTCAAGGTCGCCTTGGTCTGTTCAAACTTCAGCGCCAATACCGGATGCGGATTCGCTGGGACACTCAACTGATTTTACCTATATTGGATCTCTTCAGACTTTCTACTGGCGAAGACGTCAGCATGACCAAGGCCAGCCGTCGAGTTAGTAAGCGGGCTACAATCAGAGGCGCGCGCGGGAGCTACTACTGCTTTGTGGTTTGTTGTGAGGGGTTACTTCGATCTCTGATACTTTTAGTAACGGAGTTGGTCTACCGGTGAAGCTCGCGGGGCTTGAGAACGGCTTATGTAGTCATCGATTGGTGTTAAAGGATAGAGTCGGACAGCCTTTGACGTGCATGTTCAATCTACGACGGATGATTACTGTGAGGGTGACGCTACAATTTACAATGTTAGCCCTAAGCTGCTGTTAGTTAATGTGGATGCGAAGCAGCGACACAGACCCACTTTTTTTTAACGGTAAAACGGTCGGATCGTGTCATAATACCCTAACCCATGACCGATACTACGTACGCCCACATGATTCCGGTAGACCCCCATCATGGCATCTACTTGAGTCTCCGAATGCCATGCCGTGCCAGGGTCGGGGCTGAATGATTGGAATGAAGGATGTAGTACCAGGCTTAAGTGCTAAGTGCATAGTTCTGAACTCGTTGAGCTTGGAGCTGGTGCCACAGTGACATGTCTGCAGACGCTTTCGGAACTTGTAGATTAGCATCTAGCTAACTTTCATTGAAGGATGAAGTACGATTAGTGGCCTGAGTGACCTGGAGTCACTTGCATTGATTGCCTTCTTCTTCCGGATTTCATATCGAATCGTGATCAAAATACATCATGACATCATTGAATGATTGATCAAGTGTCGACTAAACGAATGAACCGGCAAGACTCAGTGACCGCATTCAACGTCATGCTCCGCGTCTTTACCGACTTACTCTAAGCTAGGCTATAAGCGTCAATTCCGCTCTCGCTATCTCTACCCGTTCCAGGGCCGCGACAATACCCCTTTGCTGGTGGCGTTTGTAAACCTCGGAGAGGATCCGCGAAGTAGCTTTATGTGCTGCAGCCTGCCCATGAAACTTGAGCTCACTGCCGTAACCCGTGCAATTGCAAGTTTTCAGAGTGGCATGTAAATGTATGTCGCCTCCATCAGGGCGGCCTTGACCCTCTATCTTGTAGCCCGAAACTTAGCCTTTCGAGAATTGGAACTGGAAGCGGAGCTGACGCGGCAGACTGCTTAGTTCTGACGCTCGAACCCGCCTTTTGGGCTTCGGTTAACAGCTGCTGCAAATTCCGGGATCGGGCTCCCCCTTAAGGAGCCTTTAGGATGTACGCTTGCGCGCTCAGACACGCGCGCGCGCCTAATGTAGCGCTGCTTCTCCTTGTACTCCGGCAGCTCCTCTTGCACCTGCTGCACTGAGCTAGTGCCTGCTCCACTGGGAAACTCCGGCCCAGCAAAAAGCTCAAGGCCTGGTAGTAATGCATCAACATGTACGTAGTAGGCGGGGAGTACGGAAAGCATCCGTCTTCTGGACGTGTAGTGCAGGACGGGAATGCGCCGGAGTTACCGAGGGTCGATCAACCAAGTAAACGCTGGAATCTCATGATGTCCAACCCGTTTTTATCATATTATGAAAGCGCCTGTTTCTCGGTTTGAGAGCACACTATTAATATTGGGCATACGCTCTCCGACCGTTGCTTTGCTGAGAGTGCCGTTGTGTTTTGTGTACCTTGTATATGAAGCGCTTTTAAATGCATGCAGGCCGCAGGCGTCTAAACAGGTTACAGTATCATACCAATCCAATGACAGACTCGTGGTTGGAAGGTTATGAAGCAGTGGTTGCTCATGAAAGCAAGCTCTTCGGGTGTACCAATCAATTATGTTCGTTCTGCGCGTTCTAATATAACCTTGTAACGGTGGAAGCTGGGCGATTGTGGCATTCCTGCATCCTAGTTCGTAACTTCACGATGTTTCTCAGTCGACTCTGAAGGGATTCTCGACATTGACAGTCTTACCGCTTCTCCAAAAATTGCTTGGGGTAGGGAAAGGTTTTCTGCCAGCTCGCGGCTCTAGTTTGCCACCACGTCTTTTCCTGTCTCCCCTGCTGACCGGCGCACGGCTCTGGGGTAGGCAGATTGGCCACGTCGACAATCATGACGCGGTCCGTGGCCGCCAGATTGTAGCTTTCCCCACCCCCGAGGATGTACCATCTGTCATTCCAGAGGGCGGAACCCGCTCCGAAGACCGGAAATGGAAGCGGATCCACGTGGCAGAACCTGCGCGCAGGACACATGTTTTGGAGCGTGGAGGAAACTTTAATGATACGAATGCAAGCGGAACCTCTGTGTAATCGCTTTGAAGAATTACAGGCAAAGAAGGTGTACACGTCGAAGGCCTTGGCAGGAAGTAGCATCGGGTAAAATCGGATTCCGAAGCTGAACCAGAAAGGCGCTCTTCGTACTTCACAAAGGTGACTGAACCCAAGTTTTACTCACCAGACGTCTTCTCCAAAGTCGTACTCGGACAGTGACGTCACCGCCATCCCGTTCGAACCCAGATACACCTCGCCCCCTCCCATTAACATGCTCGCCCGTTTCCCCGGGCGCTGAACTAAAGCGACAATCGGGGCCGCCCTGGAGTACGGCAGTGGTTGCTTAACCAACCATTGGTTAGTGCTCGGGTTATAGACCGCGAGCTGGGTGATGGAGTGCCGGTAGTGGTCGTGTGACGTGAATTTTGGGTTATAGGCTCCATATCTAGGGTTGAAACTTGACGCGCCCCCGACTCCCCAGAGTTCGCCTTCATAGACGAGCAGTGTGACGTGGTCCGCTGGCTGCAGGAAAAAAAGACGCAAAGCATTCAAACCGGGAAGCACTTCGATGAACTGGGTTGACTGGCATTCAGAGGCATTTAGGAGACTGCTGAAAGGCGGTCCTTAGATTCGACGTGAATCCTTGCGACGAGAACGATGTTGCCCAGGAGTCAGAGATAGCAGATCATGTGTATCAAGCAATATCGACAAGCTTTGCAAAAGCTCGTGGAGGGACCCAGCGCTGCACAAATGTGATATGTTGAGTATCTGCAAAGTTCAAAAGAGAAGTTGTGCCACTTTCACAATCTGGCCTTGAGGTCTGAATACGCAATGCAGAAAAAATTCGTAATTGTCCGGAAGCTCTCATTAAAAGTGCGAGACTCGTGTGAACTGATGGGCTCGTAATTCATCCACTGCCATTGCTCTACGAGCTTCTCAATTCAGGTGCTATGCTGTACGTTGAGGTCCCAAAAGCTCAGAGACAGAATTAATACATACCGTTGCAACAAGGCTTCAAAATGACTTGCACCACCAGAGTCAGCTTGAATTTCTGTGGGGTCCCGGCAATACGCATACATAGCACCTTTGAAACAATCAAGTACATTTAACGCACCTCAGGCAGCGGGGCAGCCTCCGACCAGCTGTCGTTTGCTGGATTATAGACCCGAAGGAGATCCCCCGTCCGTTCCTGAAGCCGTCTTCCCCCTCCGCAGCAGTACATAAACTCCCCGAGAAACTCGCAGCTGAACCCCCCCGCCGCCCCCAAAACCCGCGCCCTGTCAATCCAGTCCGTTGCACCCCCCTCGACATCCCAAGTGAAATGAAACGCGTCGTTGTTTGGACTACTCATGTCACTCCAGTCGGCACTTCCGACCAGATGGACCACCCCCCCGGGGGAAATTGCTGCGGCCGGGTGGTGCATGAGCACGGGGAAATCCGGCCCAATTGTGACGTCACCGGTCGTCAGATTGTAGATTGTGGTTCTGGTGCTGCCAATCGCTAGGAGCTCATGGTGGGTGGCTGACAAGACCGGGGCATAGTCTCTGCTAACGTTGAAAGAACCGAGGAGAATGACGGAGTCGCGCCAGCGCACGAATCCCGGTTCTTCGTGGAGGGATCCCTTGAGCCCGCCCTCAATCACTTGCACTCTTAGGCCGCTCTCCGCAGCTGCCCCCGTCCCTAAAAGCTCGCCGCGATCCTCATCAGTTTCAATACTTAGCTTCTGACTTCGGCTGCTCTTCTTGGCTTCTGTAAGTTTCCCATGCTTCTGAGGACGCATCAGGATTGTGCGAAATTGTGCGTTCAATTTGACGCTCTGGAGAAGTGACGCTGCACCAACAGTCCCTTCTAGATCTGATTGAAGCTCGCTCCTCTGCGTGCCGTCCTCCCGCACTCCGTGACTCGCCCGTCGTGCAAGGGTGAAACCCCATGACCCACCAAAAGCACCGGAGATCAGGGTTACCAAACCCAGGAAAAGCAGTGGGGAGACAAAGGTTTTCCGAAACCAATTCTTCAAGGAGGTTCTATGGGGCCGGACAGGATTTGCGCTTGGTGGCGGCATTGGGAACCCAAAGTAGAGAGGTTTTGGCAGGCTGATGACAAAGGTCCGTCCTGAGCTTATAAACTCAAAGCAGCCCACATCGTGGGTTGGGCGGCGTTGGCGCTACTAAATTGGTATCATAAATGCAGCTTTGAACGCCCTAATCAATTTCCCACGAAACGTTTGATTGTCTGCTTCTCAGATGGTTCATAAGTTGAATATGATTTGAGCAGCTGCGAGATACGTATTCAGGTGCACTATTTTGGGAGGGATAGATCCTCGCTGTGACTAGCGAGGGCGCCTAGGAAACTCAGCCTGCATAAGCGACTGCCATCCAGATATTGTTAGGAGCGCTTGAACCGAAGGGTGCCTTGCAGAGGCTCTGCAGTGAAGTCACACAGTAATCAAATTTCACCTCTTAGGTTCTCAAGTAGCAGTGGCTTGTGGCGTATGCTACGGAAAGGCAGGTTTATAGCTTAGGAGTGCAAATCTTCCACAGTAGAATTGGTTCCACTCTGCATGTAGCTAGCACTTGCTCTGATTGGAGTTGGCGTTTCTGACATGGAGCCTTGAAAGACTCATGCAAGAGGGCCCTCAGTGCCCAAACTACCGGTCTCTTGGCATGTGCCGCCAGTCAGTGCAATGCGTCTGAATGCAGGCGGCTCTGCAGTCTCCCGTTTGCCAGCGCCAATCCTACTCACTCGCACTAGCATGATCACGATAAACAGAGCCCGAATAGAGTCTTGGAAAAGCTTCACTCGCACCCAATGCCGCAGTATTGAACTGGCGCAACTGGCCAAATCTTTGTCACATATTATCTCCTTACTGATATCCTGAATGTCGCTACTGAGCACATGCATCACTCCCTGAAAGACAATTGGAGCTCGAAAGGTCAGAATTCCTCCCTGATTCCGTCGGGCTTGGATCTGCAGGATCTGAGCCTAAGTACGTATCTGGACTATCCCAAATTGCCGGACATTTGGCGCATGCCAAGCTGACAATGCATCCGTAACGATCTAGAAAGGTACTAGAATGCCTACTGGCAGCACTAAGAGATCCGAGGTTGCTGCAGACGGCATGCAGGCTGCCGGCGGCGGCCGCCTACTAAGCAAAGTAGTACCAGTACTGGCAGTATACTACGTAGTACCAGTGACGAACCGATCACTCGTGCATCCGGTACTACGAGGGATGACAATCCAACTTAGTTTCCATATCATCGATCCTGATTATCCTGAGCATGCTTTCTGCATGCGCAGTGCACGTGATGGCGATCAATATTCTTCTGAAATTGACCGCGTCTTCGCTGATTTTCAGGATTTTCCTGTTCTACTGTATCCCCACTGTACTACCAGCTTATCCAGCTTGCTTACCAGTCCAAACGTACCCTAGCTACTGAGCCTCATGTACCTAGCCACCGGTATTGGCCGAGGTCTTCACTGTTTTGACTGTTGCAGAACCTTCTAGGAGTCTGAAGGGTTCAATGGTCGCCAATGACGTACACTAAACCTGCAGAAGTGCTAGTACGACAGAACGATTAAGTTCCGCGACGAGAATGATCGAACGTAATACAAGAAAGTTCGGGAGCTCTCCGAGTCGAGGTGATCCACACAACCACTTTCTCGCGCGCGCGTAAGTTGTCGTTCCGTTCAATCATACATCAACGGCGCAAGCTCCACTCAGTCGTCGGAACCGCAGAACCGTCTTGGCGGCATTGAACCCCCATGTGTACGCCAGGCTGATTAATTAGGTACCTACCTACCGTAGTACCTAGATTCCGGCCGTTAATAGACTGCATGGTCGTCTTGCCCGGTTCGTCGACGCACTAAGTACTTCTGCAGTGCCGGCCGATAATATCAACGGAAGCCCCCAACATATCCAATTGTGCGCGCGCCACAGGCCATAGTATGTTTGGGCATTTGTGACCGTCAGATAATGTATTTCCGGGTTCTGGTGAATCATTCACCAGAA